AATTCATTCACAAAACTTATTGTATCAGTTGCCAGATACATTTACTGACCCAAATATAGTGATTGAGTCACTTACCAGCTGTAAATGCTCTAATAAGAATTGATGTCCCAGAAGGACAATATCAAGCTGCTAGTGAGTCTAAAGAACGCATGAAGCGTGATAGACTTGTCGGTTCCAAATATTAGAATCCTCGAAAAAGTAAAAGAGCATAAATTGACAATGGTCAAACCGAGGAAACAAATATTTTTGAGTGATCTCCAGAAGAGACATTAAACATGACAAATAAGAAATTCAGGTACCTGAGACAATGATGAGATCTCGAGAAATTACTTATGTCATGTATAGAATAAAATGGAACCAGAAGCAAATCGACGTCGTAAATAATATATTTGCATGCAATGTAGCAGTTGATATTATGAATGAGAAAGAGGATCATGAAACAAAGTCTATTGCATTGTGTACACAAAGTAATGATTTGGCCAAATCGAAAAGAAGCAATAGACCAAAACAAAATCTCTTAGAAAGAGAAAGTATTTGGACCAGAAGTCCTTTCACCTAAAAAGTGTGAAACAAGTGAGTTATAAATTTGGCATTTGTGCCGAAGAAGAATGAGTATGAAGAGATATACTCTCATGTGGTGGATGCAACTTTCAAGTTCATTAAGTCTGGCAATGAAAGAAGAACTTGACTTATACAACTCACTAAACAATGATATTTATGTAAAAGTCCCTGAAGGATATAATCATTAAAGAATTAATGATATCATTGTTTTTTCCCGGAAAATATTAGCTACTTAATCAAATGAAAAGAAATTTGATTCATGGATATAATCACGAAAGTGAATATATAAAGCTAACAAATACCCATGTATATTTATAGATCAAAAGAGATCTATAGTAAACATCGAAATTCCAGAAGAATTGTCGAAATTAGTATCACAAAAGGAGATGGGATAAAAGATCTTGGAAAGACAAAGTTGTCTTAAGATATCCCAAATTCCCAGAAATGTTATGGCATGATTTACATAAACAATGCTCACATATATTTGGTCCTGAAGTACCATACTTCAAATGCTATTTGAAAAATATGTTAGTCTCTTCATAATTGAAAATGAGCATGAGATTATATATACAAGATAGATGTTTACAAGAATGTATATAAAAGAGAAAATTTGGCCAGAAGTCCAAATGATTATTTATAGAAAAAGATGTCATAGACTAAAAGTCTAAATGACTTTCATCAAAGTTATACTTATAGTAATCTCCAAAAGATAGTATTGGAATGCATCTCCTGAAGAATATGCTTCCAAGGGGGAGAATATGATGATATGTGTGGTTGTACTCTTTTTCCTTATCATGGTTTTTATCCCATTGGGTTTTTCCATGAAAGGTTTTAATGAGGCAACAAAGAACACACAAATGAGAAACATCTAAAGAAGTCTTGTCATCTATTTATGAGATCAAGTGAAGCAAGGAGATTGATCAAGATGAATCATCTTGATCCATGCACCCAAGAAGAATGGCGATGTCAATGTTCTAAAGACTGTTCAAGTGAAGATTTTAAAGGAGTTTCCATCTGCTATTATCAAGAAGTTCATTCACCTAATCTACACGGATGTTCTCATGAGGGGGAGTAGTTGCGCGCTGTACTCTTTTTCCTTAACTAAGGTTTTTCCCTTTGGGTTTTCCTGGTAAGGTTTTAACGAGGCAGCATCATGCGCACTTAGAAGATATTTTTAGATAATGGACTTCCAAGGGGGAGTGTTATAACTTAGTTTATATGGAAGCCCATTATCGGCCCATATTCTAGAATGTTCTAGCTTGTTCTCCAAGTATATTCCTCTCCAAGGAAAACCCTATATTGTAATCCTATATAAGGAGCTCATTATCATGGAATAACACACAACCAATTCCTCTCTTCTCTTGTTCTCTCTTCTTACTATAACAATTACCAAATTATTAGCGGTATCTGTTTCTCTGTTTTTTTTGTTTACCTTCTATTAGATTGTCAATATTTAATGTTTTAGATATTTTATATTATCAGTGAAATAATAATTATTAGTATATAGTTTTAAAATTTTATACTTACATTAGGATAAAGCTAATGACTAACATTTCGACTATTTCAAATTAGACAAATATTCAGATCGGACAGGCAGTTCCGATCTTGAGATCATCTTTTAGTTTTCATTTTAAATATGGTCAACTTAGTTCTCTAATTGACTGGATTACATAGAGTCATGTAAACAAAAAAGAAAGAAAGATATTTGTTTGAGAATGATGATAAGTCGCAAGCATCAAAAGGTTTTCGTCAGGTCATCATATGGGTGTTGCGAATTTTTAATATTTGGGTTTGAAGAAACGAAATGCAACACTCCTCTCATACGTAACATATTCCTTCCTCCTAAACTAAAGAAACCGGAGACAGAGACAACCCTATAAGGCTATAACTATCTTCCTCTCTTTTTTTAGTATCTATGGAATTTCGAATCTTCGATCACGATGATTTGTGGTGTCCGGTCAGAAGTTAGGTTTCTACCACAGCAAAAATATTTTGTAATAGTCTGATTGGATTTCTTTTGTTGTTGTGAACTTTCTTACCACTCTAGCCAAACAAATGGAACTTTCTTACCAATGAATAGTTTTTTTTTAACTATGGATTAGAGAATCTTATATATATATATATATATACATGTATAGATTTAGAATCCGGATGATGATATAATTACGACATTAACACAAGCTACCAGACTATATAATATATATCATGATTTATTGCTTTAAATTATAAATAATGGATAAAATAGACACCATAAGATACTTAAGCTTTAATAATGACCACACCCGCCGAAAATAAAATTATGGCCACATCTAGTCATCCACATGATTCCTTGCTTACTTCGTTTAAGCTGTTGAGATTTGAATCCCAATGGTTACATTGGAATCTTGAACTACTTTAAACCGTATATATTTTATTGCATAAAACAGCCAATAATCAGTTCATAGTGTATTGTATAAAATAGCTAATAGTCAGTTTAACAAAAGAAAAAAACAGCCAAATTATCAGAATGGAAATAATTCAACAAAGTATTTTGTAGTTGCAAGGAAATTAGGAAGACAAACTTTTTGATTACACAAAAGAAGATTCTGATAATCTGATTACACAATTTTAAATTGTTAACCGGTCGAATAGAATCTCTTTGCATAGGGTACTGAAACGTATAAAAAAAGATTAATTTTGTTGGGACAATAACTATACAAAAAATGAGTCAAACAAGTGCAGAAAAAAACGTAGAGCGACTAGTTATTATAAGGTTGGCCGAATCATTAACTCCCACGTCAAATAGTTGTGATAATTTTTTGCACGTCTTGGTTAGGTATAGAAGAACCTTTATACTCTTTTTTTTTTTTTGGGTACGGAGATGGTATTATTTATGCTGAGTACAATGGTTGGTAGACCTAGACCAAGGCCCACGATATGAATATGATACTCTTGCATTATACACCTCAAAAACTTAGATATTTACATTTAATCGTTTTGTATAGTTATTACTTATTAATGTATATAAGTTCCGTCACATGCAATCAAAGCAAAGTCTTCTTGATTTCGTCATCAAGAAATTGACTTCCCCTAATATGGATCCGAGATCTTGTTAACGACAACCAAAACACGTTAATTTTCTTTTGTTTCTTCCGCTAAACTGCAAATTTCTGAATTTTAAACAGATAATTTTTTTGGACCACTAGCAAAAACAGTTCACTATACCATTTCATTGGATAATTAATTAAACAATCTCTTAAAAAGCGCAAATTCGATCTAAAACTACACTACAACTTAACATGTTGTTTATCTTTTTTTTTTTTTTTTTTTGTGAAACTGGAAATTTATTAGTGATTACTATATCGAACAATATTAAGATATATCAGTATACAGTTTAACCTGTTACTAGTATTCCAAGCATAACACCCTACTCGGACATAACACTTAAACAACATCCTATAACCAGTGTTTGACAGTTTGTAGCTCATGTTGGTTACCGAAAGATGACGATCGAGTTTCATGACAGAAGACCTATAACAAAGAAAGTCTGATTTCACATGTTGTGATCTCAAACCTGAAGAGATTATGTTTTGTTACAAAAAAATGATCCGAATAACTTAAAACTAGAAAAAGAACAAAATGTTCGGAATAATCTAGTCTTCTTTTTTCAACAAATAATTGAGAAAGTATGTTCAACACTTCAAAGAGATCAGATTATACACTATGAAAATGATATTGATGATTAGGATTTTAAGGTTTTATGTGACTCCATGTGCCTAATCTCTGATTTGAGACGAGGTTCTCTTAAAAGAAATAATAGAATCACTGGCCGATACATCAGACTGTCTGAGCTAATTAAAGTTACGAACGAGGAGTACTAAAAAACGATTAAAACTGTCTGCTTTCATTATTCTTCTTCATTTTCCACTAGCAGCGGAATAATCAAAAAATACCCCACCTCCACTTACATAAAAATTACTATAATTTATATATGCGATCTTGCATCATAACAAAAGACCAATCAAAAGGTCTGACGTGATCACTATACCAATTTATCAACAGGGACAAAATAAAAGACACATACTTTGATTACTTTCTATCATGATCGTATGATCGTGCGTCTGACATTAGAGACCACAATGAAATTCCAACTATAAGCTCACGTCATAGATGCAAATCTGGAAAGAATAAACTAAGTAGTACACTATAAATCGGGAGCAAAATATAAAACCAATAATTCATAGTCTTGTTAAGCTATATAATATAACTCATAGCTTTTTATTATTTGCCTTGAAAAATATTTCGTCAAGAAAGATTACAAACGGGAGCTAGTAACTCTGTTTAAGCGTTACATAGTCAGTTTGTCACTGTTTATTTTAATAATTACTATATTACCAAATAAATTACTTAAAATCCAACCTTAAGGGAATTACTCAAGCCTTCAGATATGGTAAAAACATTCAGAAGTTTGGCTTCACGTTAAGACGAGTCGCTAGCTTCTGTCCAAGATTTTTGTCTGCCTGAGTCCAGTAAGAGACCCAAATGCTGCGGATTTCGTGCGTCACACGTGGCTCCGCGAGCGCTTCAACAAAACGCTGCACGAACCGCTCTTGCCTTTTGGGGTACATGACAAAAGAAACAAACGATCAGTGAGGTTATGAAACTATGATGTGGTCGTTTATGTGTGACTTTTGCAAAAAGAGGTTTCTGAAATGTGTTTTTACCTGTCTGCATCCCAAGATCGGAATCTCTCCCCTGGCTGCTGGAAGTTGTTTTCCTTCTCAATCATGCACTGTGAAAACAAAGAAAACCAAAAATGAAACTTCACAAACCACAATGTTGAAGGATTTGTGATACGTTTTGAATCCATGGAGGAGAAGATTATGGACCTTCTCACGATTTCCAGAGCAAGGAATAGGGTTCGTAGGGTACTTCTCTGCATGGCGAACCGGATCCATCCTCGAAGGGAAGTAATTAACCTCCTCATACCTATGCATGAAGTTCATAGCACCGTCATGGTGGTTGTTGTGGTGAGCAGATTTCGGAGCATTGACCGGAAGCTGGAGATAGTTCGGTCCAAGACGGTGTCTCTGACTATCAGGATAAGAGAAGATCCTGCTCTGCAGCAGCTTATCGTCCGAGTAATGCACGCCCGGAACCACAATAGCAGGGCAGAAGGCAAGCTGCTCATTCTCGTTAAAGAAGTTGTCAATGTTCTTGTTCAACACCAAGCGGCCAACAGGCTGCAGAGGCAAGATATCTTCTGGCCAGACCTTGGTCACATCGAGAGGGTCGAACTCGAACTTGTCTTCCTCCGCAGGATCGATCACTTGGACGAAGAGGCTCCACTCTGGGAAGCTCCCGGCTGCGATGGAGTCGTAGAGATCTTTAGTTGCGTGGCTGTGATTGGCTCCTCCGACTTTGATAGCTTCCTCGTCTAAGAGGACTTTGACACCACAGGTGGGTTTCCAGTGGAACTTGACGTAGTGAGCTTTGCCGGCTTTGTTGATGAGGACGTAGGTGTTGACGCCGAAGCCGTCCATGTGCCTGTAGTCCTGTGGGATGCCGAGATCGTCGAAGAGGAAGGTGAACATGTGGAGACTCTCAGGGTGGTGGGAGAAGAAGTCGAGGATCCTCCAGTTCTCCTGGATGTGGGATTTGGGGTTTGGTTTCAGGGCGTGGACCATGTCAGGGAACTTCATCCCGTCACGGACGAAGAAGACTGGGAAGTTGTTCCCAACAAGATCAAAGTTCCCCTGAGTTTGCAAAAACAAGAATCAGCACAAGTACGATATGGAATGAGAGAGAGAGAGAGAGAAGAAAGGTAACCTAACCTCTCTGGTGTAGAACTTGACGGCAAAGCCACGAGGGTCTCGGAGAGTCTCGGGGCTGCCACGCTCGTGGATGACAGTTGAGAAACGGACGATGACAGGAGTCTGAACACCAGTGCCTCGGAGGAAATCAGCACAGGTGAGGTGAGTGATGTCATGAGTGACTTCAAAGAAACCCTTTGCACTGGCTCCCCTGGCGTGAACCACTCTCTCAGGGATCCGCTCTCTGTCGAAGTTGGCGATTTTCTCGATCAGATGGTAGTCCTCAAGAAGGACCGGACCTGGCAATATATATTAAACCATAGCTTCACATTTATAAGTTTCCAAACCAGCAAACACTATTAACATGAAGAGTTATATTAGATTTTGGCATATATAAGTGAAGGAGCAAAGCTGATTCACATCAAACAAGTCCATAAATAATCACTACTATTCTCATATAAACGTTTATTTGTATCCAAAAGATTAAAAGATAATGATAGAGACTCACCTCTGGGTCCAACAGTGAAAGAAGCGTTGTTGTTAAAGACTGGAGCTCCAGAGTTTGTAGTGAAGAAGGCAGAATCATGAGCACTGGATGGAATAACCTGCACTCAAACAAACTTCTTTTAGAATTGGAGAAATTAAATGTCTTTTGACAAATGATGATGACACTTGACAACATGACAGTACCCCAAAGTGTATAATATATGATTCAACGTGAACATTTTCAGAATCTAGGAAGCAAATGTTAGCATTTCGTAACTGTTATTTGAGCTGCAAACGACATTCAATATCAAAACACAGATGATGATCTACAACGAAAACTGACTGATCACGTCACCGTTTAGACCCAAACCTGATCTAGTGCATCATAAATAATAAAGAAATCGATTTACAAGACCCCACAAAAACAATCATCGCAACGCTCCAACCCAATTTTGGACCATCAATTTTTACGGAAAAAAAAAAGCGAATCGAGCATCAAATTTCTGACTATTCTCATAAGATCCACAACGTCAAGGAACCATACTCTGAATAATCAAAACCAAATTGATACGAAACGGACTCTTATCCAGAATCGAGTAAGACAAAAAAACCACAGATTACGAAATCACCCAAAGAGAATCGATCAATCGATGGAGATACCTTGGTAGGATCCATGACGAAGAACAAAATTGATCAAATTTTTCACTTGCGATTTTAGGTGAGACTGTGTTTGTTTTACGCGAATCGGCGTATGTGACCCTACCGTTACAGTGTGACTCGTGTTTTATAGCGAGCAAAGATGAATTGTCTTATTTTAGCTCAAAATCCAAAAGAAAATGAGATAATCTCTCGATTTAATTAATTACGTGTGGATGATATCCTCTTTGCTTTACTTTACCATAAATAGACAAGTGTTGTTGATTTCTGATTATCGTTATCCTTAAGATAAATAAGACACGTCGAATTGTCTTTTAAGAAACATTGATTTATTATTGTTGAAGAGATTACAAAGACAGTGACAGTAAAACGAAGGGAAACATATCGGTTTACGAAATTAAAAATAGCTTTATTATACAGACAACGAAACAACAACACAGGGGAAATAATAATATCTTTTGAGGGACTTATAACGACCAAGCGATGATGGATCGACTGAGAGTATCACGATTGTACCTTTCCGTAGATTGCATTGTCTCTAGATGCTTGGCCTCACGTTGAGACGGCTTGCAAGTTTCTGTCCCAGCGATCGATCAGCCTGAGAGAGAGAGAGACAGTTTAAGAACGTTAAGTTTGCTGAAAATGTAAAAAAAAATGAAGCAGAGGTTTCACAGAGTTTTTTGTAGTTTGTTCTGACCTGAGACCAGTAAGAGATCCAGATGCTGCGGATTTCGTGAGTGAGACGTGGCTCCGACAGAATCTCAACCCATCTCTTAATGAAACGGTCTTGCCTGTACGTGTGACCATAAGTAAACATAAAAAGATTAGGATTTAAGCTCTGTCTACTGAGTGTATATATGTGAGAGTTATGAGTTGTTCTTTACCTGTCTGGTGCCCAGGATCTGTATCTATCTCCAGGCTGCTTGAAGTTGTTCTCCTTTTTGATGATGCACTGCAACATTACCATTTCAACGTTTTTTAGCAAGACAATACAAATCATTTGACATAACGTTTTGAAGATTTAAAAGAACCAGACCTTAGTTCGGATTCCAGTGTAGGACTTGTTAGGGATAGGCACTTTCTCAGCGCAACGGACGGGATCAAACTTTGAGGGATAGTAATTGATCTGTAAAAGAAAACACCAGTTAAAGACTTCGTAATCAAGTCAAAAGACCAAGAATTGTAGCCGCAAGAAGTAGTACTTAAGACTTACCTCCTCATCTCTGTGCATGAAGTTCATGAAACCTTCATGGTGATTGTTGTGGTGAGCACATTTGGGAGCATTGACCGGAAGCTGCAGATAGTTAGGTCCAAGACGATGTCTCTGAGTGTCACCATAGGCAAAGATCCTACACTGGAGAAGCTTGTCGTCCGAGTAGTAGATCCCAGGAACCACAAGACCAGGGTTGAAAGCGAGCTGCTCAGTTTCATTGAAGAAGTTGTCAATGGTCCTGTTCAGAACCAAGCGACCAACTGGCTGCAACGGCAAGATATCCTCAGGCCAGATCTTTGTCACATCAAGAGGGTCAAAATCAAACTTGTCCTCATCAGCAGGATCCATCGTCTGGATGAAAAGCTTCCACTCAGGGTAGTTACCAGATGAAATAGCCTCATGGAGATCCTTAGTTGCGTGGCTGTGGTTGGCTCCTCCAACCACCTTGGCCTCTTCATCGGTCAGATTCTTGATACCACAAGTTGGTTTCCAGTGGAACTTGACGAAGAGAACTTTTCCGGATTTGGAGACTAGAGTGTAGGTGTGGACACCGAAACCTTCCATGTGCCTGTAGTCTTGTGGGATACCAACATCATCAAACATCCAGCACCATGTGAGCAAGCTCTCCGGCAAGTGAGACATGTAGTCAAGGATCCTCCAGTACTCTTGGATGTTTGTCTTTGGGTTCGGTTTCAGGGCGTGGACAACGTCCGGGAACTGAATCCCGTCACGGATGAAGAACACCGGAGTGTTGTTCCCAACAAGATCAAAGTTACCCTAAACAGCAAGAAACAGAGATCAGTACTAAATTTCTTGAGACGCAAGAAAGAGTATAATTAAGAAAAATGGAAATGAGAATCTATACCTCTCTGGTGTAAAACTTAACGGCGAAACCTCGGATGTCCCTCATGGTTTCAGGACTGGCACGCTCGTGAACGACGGTGGAGAAACGGACGATGACCGGAGTTTGAACACCGGGGGCTCTGAGGAAATCAGCACAAGTGAGGTCTGAAATGTCATGAGTGACCTCAAAGAAACCCTTAGCACTGATTCCTCTGGCGTGAACCACTCTCTCAGGGATTCTCTCTCTGGTGAAGTTGGCAACCTTCTCGATCAGATGGTAGTCCTCAAGAAGAACAGGACCTAAACAGAACAACAAAGTAACAAAATGTTTTTCAAAAACCGTCACACTTCTAAGTTCCATTAACAAGATCCTAGAGATAGACTCTTTCTCTCAGATTTTTATTTCTTTAGAGTCAATCAAGAAGAAGACGTATAATACCTCTTTCTCCGATGGTGAGGGAAGAGATGTTGTTGGAGACTGGAGCACCACCGTTTGTGGTGTAGAATGGAGCGTTGTACGCACTCGAAGGACGATACTGCAACCACCATCATTTTCGATTGGTTATCAGAAAAATCCCAAGCAAAGATTATGTAAAAATCTAGCAACAATCAAGTGGTTTCAACAAGAACACTCCACAAATTTTTACTATTACTATCTAGCTAGATCCGTGAAAACTCTAATTATCCGTTTCATTCACAGTTACAAATTTTAAGACGCGACCCGGAATAAAAAACGGAACCCGATTTCTCAGGCTCGGATCCGGGAGGTCTATACCTGTCGTCGGTTGACAAGGACGGGTTAGATTTGGTGACAAGAAAAGTAATTAACGTGTCGGACGGAGATAGAGATTTTTTAGATTCATTTTCATCATAAACCAAATATTTATTCGATTATTGTTTCGCTTTAGAGACTTTCGTATATTCAAGCCTTTTTTATGGATTTAGAAACACGTTTCAATGGTTCGAATAAACAATCCGATACAATAACGCTCATAGGTATGTTAAGACAAAAAAAAAACATAGGTGGTTGTTTTATAATCGGATGGTCAGAGATATTTATTTTATAAAATGATTTATCAACTGTGATTAATCTAATGGATAATGATTTTCCCTTCGGAAAATCCTAAAAAAACTTAGATTTGATTAATCAAACTTGTAGATATTGATTCATCAGCGGTGTACGTGGATCTGAGAAATAGCCTAATTGATAAGTTTTTTTAAAATCATATTTGGCTAATCTCACTTAAATAATATACGGTCGGACGTCAAAACAAACGATTAAACACCTTTTTTAAGAACACATGTGTTTAATGAAATACAATAAAAGCCATTTATAATCTGAGGAAAAAAACAACAAAACCACATGTGGCGTTTATTTCGCATGCAGTGGTTTATAGATCAGAGGGACGTTTTAAAGATAGTCAGCCAAAAAGGAAATCAACATCACCAACCCTTTTAGTTCAAGGGATCATAGAGTTTAGGCAAAAAAACAAACTAAAAATGATAGTAACACTAAGATTTTAAGAGCATCGATCAATCTTCTCACTAAAAGCAGTAAAAACGAGCAACTCGGCTGAAGAAACACACAAACAAGAAAGAAAAAGGGAAGAAGAACATGAAAATACCTTGTAAGGATCCATGGTGATGAAAGAAGCTTGATGATCCTCAACAATGATTTGAGGCTTTGGTTTAGTGAGAGTGGTGAGACCCTCTGTGTAAATATATATAGTGAATAGCGTGTGCTACCGCTACGCATAGAAACGACGGCCCCAAGTGGAGGGGTACTTTTGTCTTTCTGAGATCAATTTATCGGTACAGTAAAAAAGGGCCATTGTGTTTACTTTTCTTTCGCGATAACAATAATGCCCCCACTTATTTTTTTTGTCTTCAATGAATGCCCCTTAGATATTTATTTTTGCCTTTTTTGGCACCAACCCAAAGAAAAAAAATCATTCGTGAGTAAAATAATATATGATCCCGACAAGTCAGTATTGCCCAAGAGGAAAAATAATATATTATCGTTCGGAATCAATTATTGTGACAAGAACATATCACAAAGTCTGATTTAAAAGCCGTAAAAAAAGCCTGATTTAAATTAAAATAGGAACTGTTATCTGAATACAGATTTATTTTTCTATATAACCTGAATATACAACTTTTTTTCAAAGATAAATCAGCTGTTAGTCTGTGATCTTATTATATAAAGCTAGATGTGCGACACGTAGGATTTTTATAAAATATAGGATTGCGACATGTGTCACTTTTAATGTTAAGTCCGTTAAGATCGTGACACGTGTCTTCGGAAAAAAAAATAAATAAAAAAAATATTAGAAAAAAGATTTTTTTTTTATATATCTATTAGAATAAAAAAAAATCATATTTATCATATCCTAATAGAAAAAGGTTTTCCATTCATTAAATTCAAAATAATGTAATAAATAAAATCATATTAGTACATTAGCAAAAATCAGAAAAAAGGAAACAAACAATTAAACGAAAAATATAACATCCATTAGGAATAGTATAGAAAAAATATAATTCTATTACGAAAAATAAAATAAAAATTGAAAAATCATATATAAAATAATTAAAAAATATTACATCCAGTAAGAAAAGGTATAAAAAAACATATTCCCATTAAGAAAAGGAAAAAAAAACCAATATATAACAAGCTATATTTAAAATATTTTCTTTCTCATTAAGAAATCAAAAATCATATCCAATATTTAATCAGGTGATGAAATGTGTCAACAAAAGAAAATTGAAAAAATGGAGTAACATAAATAAATAAACTAATAAAATAATTGTAAAACAACTAACTAATAATGAAAATGAAAATTTGTAATGGTTAGAGGCAAAAACAAAATTGAAAAAGAAACAATATAAATAGAGAACCGAGAAAATAATTATCAAGGAACTAAAATATTAAAAAGAAAATTTTATAATGGACCGATCTTCTAATATTAAATAGTTTAGTTGGAAAATTAAAAAACATTTATCTATTAGAATAAAAAGAAAAAATCATATTTGTCATATCCTAATAGAAAAAGGTTTCCCATTCATCAAATTTATATTATCTAAACACATATTAAATTCAAAATAATGTAATAAATAAAATCATATTAGTACATTAGGAAAAATCAGAAAAAAGAAACAAACAATTAAACGAAAAATATAACATCCATTACGAAAAGTATAGAAAAAATATAATTCTATTACGAAAAAATAAAAAAACGAAAAATCATAAAAATATAATGAAATAATTAAAAAATATTACATCCAGTAAGAAAAGTATAAAAAAAACATATTCCCATTAAGAAAAGGAAAACAAAAACCAATATATAACAAGCTATATTTAAAATATTTTTTTTCTCATTAAGAAATCAAAAATCATGTCCAATATTTAATCAGGTGATGGAGTAAATTGTGTCAACAAAAGAAAATTGGAAAAATGAGTAACATAAATAAATAAACTAATAAAATAATTGTAAAACAACTAACTAATAATGAAAATGAAAAATTATAATGGTTAGAGGCAAAAAAAATTGAAAAAGAAACAATATAAATAGAGGACCGGCAAAATAATTATCAAGGAACTAAAATATTAAAAAGAAATTTTATAATGGACCGATCTTCTAATATTAAATATTTTAGTTTCCATTTTTTTCTTAGGTAAAACAATATTAAAAATAAAGATTTCATCAATATTTAAAATAAAGATTTCATCAATGGAATAATCAAAGTTTCATAAACTAATGAGTCGATTAGATTTAGACACATGTAAATTTTTCTATTTCATATAATTCAAAAAGTGATCAAATTTTGTTTAATAAACCCGCGTGTACGCGGGACCTAATCTAGTACTTTATAATAGTGTGATAGTTTGATTTTAGTGTGTTATTAATTAAAGAATTTATCTTGATTTCTTATATAGATGAAGTTCTAGGATTAATCGATATATCATCATTTATCGATATATCATAGTTTATAACATGTGATGCTCGAATATCTATGGTATTTTTCTTGTAGAAGAAAGAACAGCTAGCATGCTACATGTTTTTGTTTTCGATTCGATTTAACTATTACTTCCAAGTCCTAAGATATATAATAAAACAAAACTATTTAAACCGAACCCAAACTCCGTTTGATTAACAAACATATTTTTCCTTTTCAATTTGGAACTTACTATCTAGCTCGGTTTATCTATAGTAAAGTCGCATGATACATTTCATCGCATGTTCGATCTTATCGTATCAAAATAGAAAACTCGTGTCAGACACAAGTCAGCTAATGTAGATTGAGGTTTCGTTGCAATAACTGTATTTTCCAAACGTTTATGATGTTTCGGTGGTCGACCAAAACTAGGATTTTTTTTTTTTTCAAACTTATCAACTTTATCCACTTCAGATGTTTGACAACATATGTGAATAGGCAACTGAAAAGTATTTAACAATTAACACGAAAACAATATATACGGAAGGATAAATAACAATTTCGAGTTTTGTTGAGCTTTGATGAGTTATAGGTGGAATTAATTAGCTTAACCGGTTTAGATTATTTTAGTCTCATCAAATTTTAGTTTGCATTTATACAGGATTAAATATCAATATTTGTATAAAAAAAAAAAACATATTATGCATTAGTATCATAGATGATCATGAATCTATATTTATGGGTTGAAAATTCAAAACTTTAAATTTATAAAAAAAAATATACAAAAAAAGCTAAATGACATTATTGAGTGGGTATGGTGGGAAGTCTATGTTTTGGGAGCATGTGGCGGCGATTATTAGCACGTTACTTCGATGCTGAATCGATCCATATTTTGATCGAGGAGCTTACACTTGGGTCCCTCCAGCGTGAACAAGTTGCTCTTGTTACTTAGTTTGATATTATTACAACTAGGTGAAACTACCACATTCTGTTCTCATAAAACTGCAATCATTAGAAGACAGTCAACATCTATGGACTGACGATAGCTTATCCGGTTTACTCATGTAATTTTTATCTTCTTTTATAACTACAAGTTTGAATTTAAGAAAGATATTTTTCTTTGAACACGAGCGATATACCCTATTGATATCGAGTGTGTTTTCATCGTTGGTTAAAATATGATATTTCTTCGTTATTTGATTCCGATTCAAAATTGTGTTTGGTAAGGTATAGTTTTTTTTTTTGGTCGAAAGGTAAGGTATAGTTTATGGATATAGTTTGTACTTGATTTGTAAGATGCTGAGATAATTAAATCCTACAGTACTAGACTAGAGTCTAGAGTATATATAGTTGATCAAAACAATGAACCCACGAGTTATAGGGAGAAGAGCCATGAGTCACGTGCGGCGTGCCTTCCCAGTACTCGACCACGTGCCGTCTAGCATATCCCAATCCAACTCGATTCGATTCCAAATTGGCAAATTTAATTCCATAGTTATGAGTCACGTGCGGAGTACTAATCTATAGTGTACTTGCAATTTACTAATTGAGCGTCTGTACTTTGTAGCCACCTAAACAAAATTATAGTCCTCTCCTCTTATCAGATAATGTTGTAGAAATTATCTTACGAAAGAAAAGTATACACTGTAAATTTCAGTTGTTTCATTTGTAAAATTAGAAAGTAAATGGAAAACTAATGTTGACAATTATGTAGGCACCTAATAGTTTAATACTAATACTAAATCATATATGAGGGCAACTGGGTTCCACTTATAAGTTGCCACGTACCAAATATTACTCTTACGTATTACTTTTTGGTGAACTCAACGAATGAAAATGCGTTCCTGTGGATCAACATGACAAAAAACAGGATTACACCTTATCCTTTTTTTTTTTTTTTTTTGGTGGGTTTTGAGTTTTGTCAATGATGTTGAAAAATCAAAAAGAAAAAGAAAGTACTTTGGCCATCGAATCTTTGGTAGCCTGTTTCTACTCAGATGAAGACTTATCTAAAATTTGATCTGGTATTATGATTTCTTTCGGTTTACTTTAATTTCTTTTTCTGGGCTATTTGATGATTACGAAAAATACATCTATTTATGACAATGTTAGCATATACTTACCAAAGTCTTTTATAAGTCTAATGATATTCTTTAGTATATATATGAGGCTTAGCAAGTTTTTACTTGCTTGAATGATTTTTTTGAATTTAGTTTTTGGTAGTTTTAAAAGATCTTCCTAAGAATGTTTAACCAAGTAAGGAATTTTTATTTTAAACTTAGAATTGAGTGAGTCTGAATGTGAGTGTACATCACTATGGGTTTAAAGGTTTTTTAGTTATTATAATTCTTACTATATCAATCAAATTATTAATCATCTAATGTAAGTCCCGTACTTTTTTTTGGGCCATAAGCCTTATAACCTCTAAGATGGGCTCTAATGTGATGATAATATACTGGCCGAGTTGCAATATTGATGACAAATTGATCAAGAGAAGCCTGGCTTTAGTCTTATTGGAGACAATGTGAAACTGCGGAAATGAAGTAATTAGGTACAGTAAATAGGTTAATAGGTAACATGGATGCTTATGAATAGAAGAAATGAGATAACCGTGATGCATGAATTTATGGGAATCATGTCCATTGTTTATGAAAATGTCTCGACTTTAGTTAAAAATCCTATTAAAAAGCCCATCAAAATGCTCATGAATGGTTGTGCATAATATTTTGAGAAATAATTTCCACGTCATCATGTAACAAGAGACTGGTTGTGACGAGGTTTCTGAATTTTGCACGGCCCTAAAGAGATTTGATATTTGGAGCAACACGAAGTACAAGAAGTTTCTTCATCAGACTGTTGGTTGATGTCTTGATGATCACGGTAGGTTACATTGCGCTATTCTTCCTTTTATGGAATCGTAAGAAGACTGAAAACAGAGAAGAAAAATTAAGAAACACTGACCAATTACAGAAAAACACGTACATAATTTTTTTAACGTTCATCAAGAGTGATATAAACTTGTAAACAAAAAAAAAACAGAAATTAATTACAAGAACCTAAAATGGTAAAAAAAAAAACTACAAAATCGTTGGCTCTCCAAGCATATATCAAAGACGAACCAAAATTAAAAACTCGAAAGATATCTGAAGGTGACACACTTCTTTGCGTGCTTCTCTCTCTCTCTCTCATTTCACACGATCAGATCCCATGTCTACCGATTTAAGACCCCATTTCACTTCAACAAGTAACACTCATCAGCTTCCCAACTAAATTTTCCACTGAATGATTCTAGAATCGCTAAATGTCCTCGCGACGTTGGAAGCATTTCCGGTTCGATCGAATGTGTAACCGAATGCGAACCCTAGGAGAGACTCAAGGCACTAAACCATGGTACAGTGGTTTGCTTCAACAAGCCTCTCTCTACGGTGTAGCTACAGGTTACTGCATCTCAGCTTCTCTCCTCTCAATCATCAACAAATGGGCAATCATGAAGTTCCCTTACCCTGGTGCACTAACAGCTCTACAATACCTCACAAGCACGATCGGTGTCTTGCTCTGCTCCCAGCTAAACCTCATCCAGCACGATCCTCTCAAACTCTCAACCATGTGGAGGTTTCTCCCCGCAGCGATCATGTTCTACTTGTCACTCTTCACCAACAGCGAGCTTCTCCTCCACTCTAACGTCGACACTTTCATAGTTTTCCGCTCAGCTGTTCCGGTTTTCGTCGCCGTCGGAGAGACTCTTTTCTTGAACCAGCCTTGGCCGTTGCTTAAAACATGGATCTCTCTTGCCACCATCCTCGGAGGAAGCTTGGTTTATGTTCTCACTGATTATCAGTTTACGGTTACAGCTTATAGCTGGGCTGTTGCGTATCTTGTGAGCATGTCTATAGATTTTGTGTACATCAAGCACGTGGTTACGACCATCGGGTTAAACACTTGGGGTCTTGTGCTTTACAATAACCTCGAGGCTCTTCTCTTGTTCCCTCTTGAGTTGTTTGTTATGGGAGAGTTTTCGAAACTAAGGCGTGAGGTTGCTGATAAACCGGATTGGTTTAGTTTGTCGGTGGTTTTGCCTGTTGGTTTGTCTTGTCTGTTCGGTTTGGCTATCTCTTTCTTCGGTTTCTCGTGTCGCCGAGGGATTTCAGCAACCGGGTTTACGGTTCTTGGTACAGTGAACAAACTGTTAACCGTTGCGATCAATTTGGTTATATGGGATAAACACTCGTCTTTTGTTGGAACGTTAGGGCTTTTGATATGTATGTTTGGTGGAGTCATGTATCAGCAGTCCACGAGCAAGAAGAAACCTAAAGTTGTGGAAGAAGACGTGGAACAGAAGAAACTGCTAGAGATCGAGGAAGCTCAGAAACTATGATCATATACAATGAGAGAAGTTATAGACTAGCACGATATCTCAAGCCTAAATCTAAAAGCGTATCATGTATTTATTTATTGTCTATACAAATAGAAATAAGAAGTAATTGTTGTGGTCCGAGATAAGACACCAAATGATTTAAATGTGATCGGTGGTGGTCACAGAAGTACACCTCCTTTTGAAATGTAGTAGTCGAAGATGCAGTAAATCAATGCCATTATTATGTAAAAGCGTGTGTATATATCTTATTCCCATATAAAATTCCTCCACTACTTTGAATCTTTGATGATGATACACTTGACAAGATCTAAAATTACGTGTGTTTTAGCAAAAAAAGGAATACTATCTAGTGGTTAGTAGTATAGACGAATCTGTCTCTGGTCAAAGAAGACCAATTTCAAAATGGTGTATATATATATTTTTTTTTCTTCTGTGACAGCTTTCATGATCGTTTTAAGGTTTTTTATTTTTTTAATATAAATGTATATATTACATAGCATATTTTCTTAAAATTTGGTGTCTTTCCCAATATATATATAGAGAAAAAGAAAGATAACTGAATAGTTTGAAAAATCAAAAATGTACACACATCCAAAACAAATGGTAAATGTTGATTGAGTTTTAGAGAAAAATGCAAGTTTAATTTGTGTGTGTGGCAGTCATCCGACGGTTCAAAATTAAATATACAACGGGTGATTATATGATGTCAGACATGAAATAACCGTTTTTTTTCCTTACGACTTTATCAATAAAAAATCATATTAATTTTGATAACCAATCTATACTCATTCAAAATTTGAATCGAGAAAAAACAAATAATATTTTGTTCAGTTTAGTTTAAACATATTTAGAAATTAGCCACCAAATGAATTTCAATATGTAACATATATTTAAACTTTCGAACGAAAAATTTCCAAAATTTTAAAAATTAAAACTTCATTGAAAAGCACAACAAATCAAAATCAAGTAACAACGGAAGAAGACATTCAAACTCGACGGTTTTAAAGTTCTATTGACTTAATAATCTGGATTATCAGAAGATTATAAAATTGTTCAGCATATTTCAAATTAAACAGAATTTTAAATTATTTAACGGTCCAAATTTTTTTGGCGGGTTTTAATTATGAAATAAAATTCTTTTTATTAATTTTAAATTTATAGAAATAAATATTACATAGAATAATTCTAAAACTGTAGATGTTTTCCCCAGAAGAGAAAATAAAGAAAACTGAACAATTTGAAAACAGTACACTGTATACAACCAAATAATAGCCATTGAAATAAGATTTAGAGAAAAAAACAATTTCTATTAGACGGTTGAGATTAACTAGCCGTTTATTTCAAAGAAAATACTTGTCTTCAAATCTGTCTATTACTTTTTTTTTTTTCTATTTCTTCCTCTTCTTCCTTTGCTCTTAAATTGAAAGAGAGAGTCACTGTGAGATAGACAGAGGAATCTTCAACCAGCCATTGGAGAGAAAGAGAACGATATTTGTTCTGGGTTTTTGTTCAAGGATCTCTATTTCTCTCCTCCTTCGTTTGATCAACTTGGATCCAAAGGAAAGAGACTACTAGGGTTTAAGAGATTCTCTGGATTGGAAGCGTTCGTGGGTTTGATTTAGCGATCACGCGTTGACTTAATTTCGCGGTGGTTCCTTTGAATTGACGCCGGAAGGTGAATTTTTTTTCTTATGGGTTTCGTCATCTGGGTATTTGGGATTCGGTCTTGTTCTTGATTAGGGTCTCTTGTGATTAGTAAACCGGATCTGAAGGGTTTGATTGTCAACTGTCAAAGACTGGATTTTTTAAAAAATTAAAAAAAGGCCCTGCTTTTATGTTGGGGGGATGTTTGGATTTTGAATTTTGATTTCTAGAGATTTAATACTCCAATTAAAAACCTCCGCAGATAACGAAGGAAATGGGGAAATCAGATGAAAACAGCCTCGGTTTGGTTGGATCAATGAATCTCCAAGGTACCCTAATCGAATCAAATCAGATCCTTTTGTTCATCGTTGATCTTTGATTAACCAACTTGATTGTGGAATTGAAAAGGGGGGTTTTTACATTGTGCAGGCGGAGGAGGGAAGATCATGCCGGCGGCGAATACAGGACCGACCAGAAGGGCACTGAGCGCTATTAACAAGAACATCATCGAACCTCCGTCTTACCCTTATGCTGTCAACAACAAGAGATCACTTTCCGGGTAAGTGTTCATACACTGTAATGAATCCTCAGATTCAAGATTGGATTTTTCTGTTTCTCCCTTTGATTAGATTCTTAAAAACCCATCCTTTTGTCTCTGATTTCGCAGAAGGAATGCCATCTGTAACAAGCCGCCTGTGCATCGGCCAATCACTAGGTAAATTGGATCTGCACTCTTGTCTACTCACATTGTCCGATTTATGAGTCAATTAACTAACTTTTACTACTCTCTGTTGGTTTAGGAAGTTTGCTGCTCAATTAGCTGATAACAAGCCTCAAATCCGGGATGAGGTAACTCTACAGTGACACTATTCAATATGATGGGTTTCAGTTATAACAATGACATAGACCGGATTTGGATTTCATGTGTTGTGTTCTCTTTTGATGTTAGGAAAACATCAATGTGGATGATAATGATAAGGAAGAAGGAGGCGACTTTAATGAGCCAATGTTTGTGCAACACACGGAAGCAATGATGGAGGAGATTGAAATGGAAGACGCTGAGGAAAAAGAAGAGCAAGTGATCAACATTGACGCTTGCGATGAGAAGAATCCTTTGGCTGTAGTTGAATACATCGAAGATATATACAACTTCTACAAGAAAATTGAGGTGACTTGAAATTTTTTTTGTCCTTTATCGTCTGTAATACATAACCTTTACTAAATGAACTATGACAAGTCTATACTCTAGTCTCCTAGCGGCAGTTTAACACGAATTTGTTGCTGTTCTTTCCCTGAATAGAGTTTGATCCATTCTTATGATTCTGCAGGAACATAGTTGCGTGGCTCCTAACTATATGGAGAACCAGAAAGATCTCAATGAGAGGATGAGAGGAATCCTTATTGACTGGTTGATTGAGGTAGACAGATTTAGACCAAAAAGCATTTTAATTTCATTGGTATTGTTGTGGTTTTTTTCAATGTGTCTGATGATAGGTTTGCTTGAAATATATTGAGCAGGTGCATTACAAGTTTGAACTGATGGAGGAAACCCTTTATCTCACAATCAGTGTCATCGACAGATTCCTTGCGGTTCATCAAATCGTGAGGAAAAAGCTTCAGCTTGTTGGCGTCACTGCTTTGTTGCTAGCTTGCAAGTACGAGGAAGTCTCAGTTCCAGTAGTTGATGATCTCATCTTGATCTCTGACAAAGCCTATTCTAGAAGAGAAGTACTCGATATGGTGAGTATCATTCTCTTCTTGATCACTTATCTCTAGATATGGTGAATTTCAGTTTCAGTTGACCTTTTGTTGGGATTCTATTGCAGGAGAAGCTAATGGCCAACACCTTGCAATTCAATTTCTCTTTGCCTACTCCGTATGTGTTCATGAAACGGTTCCTCAAAGCTGCCCAATCTGACAAAAAGGTTTGTTTATGTCCGTCTCTTTTATAGAAAAGTTTGAATCTTTCTGTAAGTAAAACCATCTAAAGCTGTTTGATATTCAATTGTGGTTTCAGCTTGAGGTTTTGTCGTTTTTTATCATCGATCTTTGCCTCGTGGAGTACGAGATGTTGGAGTATCCTCCGTCCAAGCTAGCAGCCTCGGCAGTCTACACTGCGCAGTGTGCACTTAATGGATTTGAGGAATGGAGCAAAACCTGTGAGTTTCACACAGGCTACAAGCAAGAACAGCTACTGTAAGAATCACAAGTCACCAACATATACTGTGAATTTCGATGGAAAAGCCTATAAGAGAGAGATTGTAATTCTGATTTTTTTCTTTTTATCAGGGAATGCGCAAGAAAGATGGTTGCTTTCCATCACAAGGCAGGAGCAGGGAAGCTGACAGGAGTTCACAGGAAGTACAACACATCGAAGTTCTCTTATGCTGCAAGAACTGAACCAGCTGGGTTTCTGCTTTAATGGAAGAAAATCTATAATAAGATCGGATGGGATGACAGAGAATCAAATATGACTTGACTCGAGTTTTTTTGGAAAACAAAAAGAGTGAGAAAGAAGAGAGAGAGATAGAGAGCAACTGAAGTTGCCCAAATGGGACATGTACAATTGTTGGTTCTGTTCTTCTTCTCTTCTAGGATCTCTTAAGATCTTTCTTCACTTGAGAGGGAATAAAAAGATACAACTTTTTCTTTTGATGTCATATGCGTAAACATAGTATTCGAGTTTTGAATTATACATTCAACTTGTTAAGCAGTCCCCATTATAAACTACATGTATAGATAGAATTGTTGTAAAACACTATTTCTATGTCAGAAACCTCCAGACTTCTAAATCAAATATTCTGCATATTCTGCAAGTGATTGTGTTTTGATTCTGAAAATCACATTTTGAATGTCGAATGTAAAACACTATTTCTCTGTCAGAAACCTCCAGACTTCTAAATCAAATACTCTGCACATTCTGCAAGTGACTGTATTTTGATCCTAAAAATCACATTTTGAATGTCGAATGTCTTTGCTGGTGGTTAATTGGCAAAACGCTGTAAACAAAAAATTCATATTTACTCATTCGGATAATACTATTTTCTGCAAAATGTTATACTTGTATTCCAAAGCATCTACTTGTGTCCATCTTCTTTCAATTTAGCCGAGTTTAGGCTCATTGTTCACTTATAACATTTTTGATAGCATGTGCTACGTTTTATCTACTGCCAGAAATTGAGAATGCGCCAAAACATATTATAACAAAAGCTTGTCAATGTTGAAACATCTTCGCATTCCCAAAATACAGAACTACTAGTGCATCAGGACATATATCTCTCTTTTTTTTTGCCTCGTTAGAGGAGACATTGGTTTTACAGTGAACCTTAAAGCAATAAAGAACAGACGCAAGAGAGGTCGAACTTAGTCTCAGAGTCGAAGCTTTTTATCTTGAGCGCAAATGTAATCATCTCCTCACAGGTGGTACCGCTCCTCTTCCTCCAGTTCCACGCCCTCCAGCAGCCGGACCCTTTATGAAACAATATCACAGAGATTCAAAGATCCAACAATTAGTAATGACATAGAAGAAAAAAGCACCAAGTACAAACAATGCTTTAATCAAACTTCCAAGCGTTATATCATGATCAAAGTAGCTTGAAGAGAAAGAGAACTTACTCTTCCTCGCATTGCAGCTCTACCCCTGCCCACACCCAGTGATGAGCTCTTTCCCTGCATTTGATAAAGCAAGTAAGATTTTATGCAAATCAAGGATACACATGGAGACTCTAATATGTTCTGCATCCAGGGTTCGAAAAGCACATACCTTGATTCTAGCGTCTTGGCGCTTGAACATTGGAGCCTCCTTGAGAATGTCTGGTATGACCAAGAACCTGTCAAGATCACTCCATAGGTCAATTACGAATCATCTACCTTTACAAGAATGATTCCATGAATTACATGAAATATGAAACAAGCACAAGTAGAAAAAAGTGTTGTATCGTACCTGACTTTGCTGCCTCGAATAAAGACATGCTCAAGCTGTGAAACCTTACCATCCTGTAACACAGCATTGGAAAATTTCAGTGACACTTAACAAGAGAACCCATTAAGTTCTATATGAAATACACATCTCTCGAAAGATAAATTCTGAAAACATGAACTGCAAAACTTAAGGAACCACAGGTTTTATTCAAAACGTAAACTTAAGGTAATCTTAAGGAACAGAAAACTTTCACTCCTGCAAGCTTTAGATACTCCAATGTGATTCTACAGAGCAACTTACTCTCTTTGAATGCAACATACTAGTACAAAAGTCGAATACTATGTTTAGCCAATTTCATTAGTACCAATATCTCGTATGCTTATAATTATCTCAGGCTTCACGAGAGGTCGCTACTGGGATCACCATCCTAGGTTCCAATACAGCCCTAATTTCAACGATTCTCAATCCCACAAGTGGAATAAAAGCAAGCTAACGCCGATTAGAAAACTAGTAAGAAAATTCTCAGGCTCGCCAAATCTAGGGTTTTCAGGTCACAACACTAACAGTAAGAGCTGAAGAGAAACGAATCCTATGGTTAAAAAAGCTATCTCAAACAAAAGGAATCGATTCATTATAGGTTAGACTGTAGATTACCTTGGCGGTGTAGGTAATTTCCTCGAGCTGGCAGTTCCAGTTATCCTCACACTCGATCATGCTTCCTCTGTATAGCTCGCCGCTCTTAAGCTCAACCGTCACGATATGACCGGAGGCCTCGTGAAGAAGCTTCACCGGGATTCCCAAACTTCGGCTCATCTTTGTCTCTGAAAAACCCTAATTAAAACCTTCTCGTCTTCTTTGCAACTGGGAAACAAAAAAAAAAATGGCGGAAGGAAAGAGAGCGATTTTCAGATCGGAGATTTTAGCAGTTTTAAAGCTCTCTTCTGATCAATGTTTGGGCTTTAAATTGAGTCCATTAATCATATAAGGCCCAATCCTGGAAATTGCTTTTTACTCCTTAAATTTTAACATTAATGTATTGTAGTCCCTCCTTTTTATACAGACGACGGCCGATTTCACGGGAAATTCCGATTTCACAGAGCCGATCGGGGCTGGTTTTAAAGTTTAAACGAAGGAAGCTCCGTTGCGAAAACTCGCCGGGAGATAATTGAAATTACTTGGAGCTGTTGATCGGAGTAACCGGCGGCTATGGCGGAAGAGAAGGAGAGTAAAGGAGAGAAAAAGTACAAGTATAGCATAATCATTCCTACATACAACGAGCGCCTCAATATCGCTCTTATAGTCTACCTCGTTTTCAAGCATCTCCGGTAAATGGAATATACGTTTTTGTACATTTACGTCAGCTTTTTTATTTCAGAATCGGTTTCGCGGCGAATTGTCTGGTGTTATTGTTTATCGAATTGAGTTTTCTGTATCGAATTCTGGATCCCATTTCACTGAATGACTAAAGTCGAATCTGATCGCCAATTAGTGTTTCGGTCTTTCTGGTTTTTCTTTCCTGAAAGGATCAGAATTTATGGATCGTGGAAATGTTTCCGATCGTGGGTTTACAACGTGCAGATCTAAATTCGTAATTGTTATTTTGTGCGCATGAGCAAGCAATCCAGTGAAACTTTATAGAATTATCTCAGTGCTGTTTATCAGAAGCTCTGTTTTAGTGATCGGAGAATGAGCAGAAGCTAGATCTTTTCCTCGTCTCAGATCGATCCTGGTTTAGTGATAGACTTTAGCTCTGCTTATAAGAAATCAAACTATTTGCAGTTGTTTCTCTGTCAAAAATTTTGTTTGAGAATTATTACCGATAGTGAAAACAAATCTATTCATTGCAAAAGATAAAAGAACAAGAAAATGATTTGCTTTGCCATTTCTTGAATGATATAGGGATATTGATTTTGAGATAATTGTTGTGGACGATGGGAGTCCTGACGGCACACAAGAAATCGTCAAGCAACTGCAGCAGTTGTATGGTGAAGACCGCATTGTGAGTAGAGTGACGGTTTAGGACTCTGAATTTGTAAATTATTGGGCATTTCTTTTTGCATTCTTCTGTTTAGTTGAACTCGTGTTTGTCTTTCTTTCTTTTTATGATGCAGCTTTTAAGAGCTAGAGCCAAGAAGCTTGGTTTGGGTATGTAATTCATTTCATTATCATCTTTTTATTTTGCTTACCATTGGCAAGAAGGTGGAATGAATCTTCTTGGCGTGATCAATCTCAGGAACTGCATATATCCATGGTTTGAAGCATGCTTCGGGTGATTTCGTCGTAATCATGGATGCTGATCTTTCACATCATGTAAGAGCCACCATTTTAGTTTTCTTCTTTACTCAGTCTAATTTTTGAGCTAACCATGCCATAATTCTCTTGTGCAGCCAAAGTACTTGCCAAGTTTCATCAAGTAAGGAAAAGAAGTATCTCTTGATCTTTGTCTAATTTCACAAGCCTATAATGACTTCAATTGACTTTGTTTTTTATCATATAGGAAACAACTAGAGACAAATGCAAGTATAGTAACGGGTACACGATATGTAAAAGGTGGTGGTGTACACGGGTGGAACCTTATGCGGAAGCTCACAAGCAGGGGAGCAAATGTGCTTGCTCAAACACTTTTATGGCCTGGTGTATCTGATTTAACCGGATCATTCCGGTAGAAACTCAACTACCTTGTGTGTATCTTTTTCCTGAATCATTTGCTCGTTTCATGACTGACATCCACACCTCTTTATTTGAAAGCCTATACAAGAAATCGGTGCTTGAAGACGTGATTAGCTCATGTGTGAGTAAAGGGTACGTCTTCCAGATGGAGATGATCGTTCGTGCTACCAGAAAAGGATACCATATTGAAGAGGTCTCTCTCTCTCTTCATAATGTTGATTCCTTTTATAAAATACATATTTCATGATTCTCATCAAGTACTCGTCTTCGTCTGCAGGTACCAATCACTTTTGTGGATAGAGTCTTTGGAACTTCGAAGCTGGGAGGATCTGAAATAGTGGAATATCTAAAAGGGCTCGTCTATCTTCTGCTCACGACTTAAAGAGAGACCAAGCAACACCGCAACACATGATTCTCAGTTTATACTCTTTGTCTTTGTTTTATTGCACCATAGATTCTCTTTTTAACACTTGAACTCTGATCGGGTCTTTTAGAAACTTCACTTTAGCCTTGACTTGAGAGAGTTGCTGCATCTTTCTTGAGACTCAAAGGTTCATAATTTTGTAGACGTATTTTTCGTTTTCAATGATGATCTGAGATATCATACGTTTTAGATAGTTGTTTTAGTAAGCTTTTTTTTTCCTTTATATATATAGAGAGAATAATAATTTGAATTTTGTAAGGATAAAATGAACTCTGAAAAAAAGATGTATGCTCAGAATTTTTTTGTCCTTCCTCTCTGCAATTCTCAGGATGAGACCCAAGTTTTCTAGAAATTTATTTTCCTTCCCTCATTTCAGGTAATTTGACAACGATGATTCTATGATCATTTTATGTCCAATCTTTCACTTTTCTCCCATGTGCAAAGTAGTTTCTGACAGCTTATCTTGAAATCTTTGTGATCATCAACAACATAAAGTAGCCGATGCTCCATGTGTCAGCATTCCTACCTTTCCAAAAGAATAGTACATAGTACTTACTTCTGATGTTAAATAGTTGGTTATACAGTAATTAACGTAATGGACAAAGTATACTTTCGCTGGGAGTATTATTATGTGGCAAAATTGAAAGTTTATGTTTATGGCTTGAATAAGATGAAATGCTAATCAGGATTTTTGTAAGCAGGTGTATATCATTGACACCTCATGCCGTGAGTTAATGCAAAACTATGGTAAAAGCTAAGGCTTATCTAATTTTCTGTGTACTACTTGGAAGCTTTGGATGATTACAATGGGTATATGTGAAATTGAAAATTATAGGTATGTGTATTCAAAGCCGAGAGTGTGACACTTGCCTATTTGTTTTTGTGGATGTCGTTTTTGTCAAACTTTTTTTTCTCACATTAAAATATATGTTTCACATGTACATAAGAGAGCAAAGAGACAATTGTATTAGCAACTCGTTATCATTTAGCAAAAAAAAAAAGAACATACTTTCCTGCGAGAAGAAAGAAAAGAAAATGGAGGGAACAATGAAGTCTTCGGCCAACTACGTTCCTCTCACTCCGATCAGTTTCTTGGATCGATCTGCCGTCGTCTATGCTGACAGAATCTCTGTCGTTTATGGTTCCATAAAGTACACATGGCGGCAGACGCATGACCGATGTGTTAGAATCGCATCCGCTCTTTCCCAGCTCGGAATCTCCATTGGAGATGTGGTCAGAACTTTTCTTTAACCAGTTTTATCATTTCTATCTCTGATTCAATTATATGGTGGTGATTGGTCGCATCCATCTCTGGATATCTTTCGTGGTCCCTTATCGATAATATTTTGGATATCATTTTTCTCTCACGATTGAAATATAATTTTCAAGTTAATCCAGATTTTGTTTTGACCATCACAAGTTTCTTGATTCTTATAATTATCATCAGGTTTCAGTGTTGGCACCAAACATTCCAGCTATGGTTGAATTGCATTTTGGTGTTCCAATGGCCGGAGCTTTGCTTTGTACACTCAACATTCGTCACGACTCCGCACTCGTAGCAGTCTTACTAAGACATTCAGGAACAAAAGTTCTCTTTGCAGATCATCAGTTTCTCCAAATAGCTCAAGGAGCTTGTGAAATCCTTTCAAAGAATGGTGAAAAAGCCCCACTTCTTATCTTGATCCAAGAGCCTATTCTTGCTCAATCTGTTTCGGTGAACAAGAACTTGATGGAATACGAAGATGTTGTTGCCATAGGGAAACCAGATTTCCAAGTGAAAAGGCCAAACGATGAGTGTGATCCAATCTCTCTAAACTACACATCAGGCACAACTTCAAGCCCTAAAGGTGTTGTGTATAGTCACAGAGGTGCTTATTTAAACTCTCTAGCTGCGATCATACTCAATGAAATGCACTCTTCGCCTACTTATCTATGGACTAATCCAATGTTCCATTGTAATGGCTGGTGCTTACTTTGGGGCGTCACCGCAATCGGTGGGACTAACGTATGTTTGAGGAATGTAACCGCAAAGGCTATATTTGATAACATCTCACTGCACAATGTGACTAACATGGGAGGTGCACCGACGATTCTGAATATGATCATCAACGCTGCCGAGTCCGAGAAGAAGCCGCTTCCCGGGAAGGTTTCTTTCATCATGGGGGCTGCGCCGCCGCCAGCGCATGTGATCTTCAAAATGGGAGAGCTGGGGTTCACTATGATTCACTCCTATGGGTTAACAGAGACTTATGGACCAGGTACGATCTGTGTATGGAAGCCTGAGTGGGACTCTTTGTCTACTGAAGAGCAGGCCAAGATGAAAGCTAGGCAAGGAGTGAATCATTTGGGGTTAGAGGAGATAGAAGTGAAAGATCCTGTGAGTATGAGGACTTTGCCTTCTGATGGTGTGTCTATGGGTGAAGTTGTGTTTAGAGGGAACACAGTGATGAATGGTTACTTGAAGAACACTGAAGCAACCAAGGAAGCTTTTAAAGGAGGTTGGTTTTGGAGTGGTGACTTGGGTGTTAAGCATTCTGATGGTTACATTGAGCTGAAAGATCGGTCGAAGGATATTATAATCTCTGGAGGAGAGAACATAAGCTCGATCGAAGTCGAGTCTGTTCTGTTCACTCATCCTTGTGTTCTTGAAGCAGCTGTTGTTGGGAGGCCTGATGAGTATTGGGGTGAGACTACTTGTGCGTTTGTGAAGCTTAAGGATGGGGCTAAGGCTAGTGCGGAGGAGATTATAAGCTATTGCAGGGACAAGCTTCCTCATTATATGGCTCCGAGGAGTGTTGTGTTTGAGGAACTTCCTAAAACATCGACTGGGAAAGTTCAGAAGTTTGCTCTGAGGACTAAGGCTAAGGCTATGGGAAGCTTGACAAAGAAAGGAAGAAGCAAGTTGTGAATTGGTGGTGGTAACGTTTTGTTACCTCTCAAGCCATCTCTCTGTTTGAGATGTTTGATAAAATGAGTCTAGCAAAATCATCATGTGTGCTTTTAAGCTAAACCGGAATGGAATAATAAAACCAAGTTGTACCTTTTATAAAATAAATAAAACAAAACCGGGATGAAAGTATGAATTCCGGAAACTTATAAAATCTATAGCATTCTGATAATTTATATTTTCTTAGTGTTGAATCTGATGGCAAGTTGATATATATTATCTTGAAGGGAATCAATCTCTTAAATCATCTTCTCGTAGTTATCGTTTATCTTGTTCTTTACTGAAATTTGTTTATGAGATTTCGATTTTTTTAAGAAAACTAAATAAAATATTAAAGTACTCTATAGGAGTCGTGTTTCAACTTTCAACACATACCTTGACATATATATAAATCGGTTTTATTAGAGGTCGATTATGTTCTTTCCTTAATTCAATAAAATTAATGTTTGTAGTATAACTTTAATGATCATAAGATATTAAGATGATTAATTATAATATGATCACTAGTTCACATGGTGAAACTTGTAAGTAGTAACAAGCAAGAATCATTCGTTATAATTCCGTGAAGGCGTAAAGATAAACAAAATACGAGTGCTTACTGCTTAACCAACGATACTAAACCGGACCAGTACTCGTTTAGATTTTAGATGATCTCAAACCGTTGATTATTTTCCGATTTTGGGTTATTAACACGGATCCAAAATTGTTAAACCGGGTCACACCAATTTTGTTTACCGATGGTGACAACACGGACCAAACGGAAACTGGCAAAAAGACAAGACAAAAAAGAGTATACTTTCCTTCGCAGTTCACGCAATTGCTCACTTACACTCTTTAAGCAAAAGCTAATAACTGAAACACTAGTTCCAAATATATTCTTCTTTTTCACTACTAAAAAAAAGAATTGTACAGCAAAGAGTAATATTTACACTGCAGAAGACAGTAATGGTTTTAAAGTTTGTATTAAAGTGATTTAAAGAGAAACAAAGCTTGTAGTTGGGCTCTTAATGTCATAGTTGGTCAGAAATTTCCTAAAATGCTAAGATTATCTCTTAGTCATAACTATTCGATATTAAGTGCATAATATCCTCATCCTTATCATTAAGGAAAGAAGAAAGATTAACAATTAAAACGAAATAGAGCAACAAATAAAATAACTAGCAATCCAGCTCATAATAATCATAAAAAAATTAATCACTAAAAGAAATAATTAATTGATATAATTAAATAATTAAGGAAAAAAAAGCTGTTAGAACGAAGTGCTGGAGGCGGTGCCTCATTTTTTTCAGAGCCCAGAAATCTATAAGAACTGTCTCAAACCAAAAAAATAATTATAAAAATTTACTTTTCTCAAATAAAAAAATCCTCTCTTTCTCTGTTATATATAAGAAAAATTGAAGCGAGAAGGAGAGAAATTCTACAATGATTGTAATGGTGATGGAGATGTCGTGAAAACAAAGAGGAAATTACAAATAAAAATGACAACATGTTTTGATTTTTAATTTTGAATCTTCTTCACCAGATTGTTTACTTTAAAAAGAGAAGGACTTTTTTTTGTTTCCTCCTCCATTGGAGCCAAGCTTTTTTTTCGAATCTCTCTCTATCTCTCTGGCGTAGAGGCGAAGGTAAAAGCGCCGCGCGTATAGCCTTCAATGGCTTTCCAGCGACGGCGCTACAATTACTACAACCGTCTCCGTCGTATCATCCCTCTGATTTGCGCCGTCTCGGGAGCTCTCCTCGTCTTCTTCGCTCTTCTCTCAATCTTCTCCCCTCCTCCTGATGATTCCGATCGCCGCATTTCCGTAAACTCTCTCTTTCTCTCTTAGACTCCATAGATTGATTGTGATCTCTCTCTCTCTCTCTCTAACGTCATTGTCTCTGTTTAATTGCAGAAGCAGATTAATTATGGAGCCAATGATGAGAGGAACGTAGCAACGGTTTTCAGAGTTCCGGTTAGGGTTCTTAAATTCTGCTATTTGATGATGATGTCCAAATGATTTGTTGCAAAGTTTGGATTTTTCTTTTATCTCCTTTAATGGGCTCTTTTGGGTTTGTGTTTGTTTTGACCAAAAAACAGAGAAGTGGAGGGAGATCAGACCGTGACATATGGCGTTCATGGAATGCTGAATTCTTCTACGGTTGCTGTAATGCAAGCAGCAAGTTCCCAAGTGCGTAAAGTCCTCTTCTTGTTTGGTGTTTAGAGATATGAAATCAGAAAATTGAGTTTAGAAAGCTTGAATGTTTTTGCAATTAGGGGTTGTTAGTACTTAGTCACACCAAATTTTGATATCTTAATGCAGATGCTAAAGCAGTTACTAGAAATGATAGATACTTGGCAATCGCAACTAGTGGTGGTTTAAACCAACAAAGAACTGGAGTAAGTTCCTTTAGCTTTCTCTGGTTTTATTGTTTCTGAAATCTTGTTTTTTGAGTTTCACAGTATACATTTGATTCTATCAGATTGTAGATGCTGTTGTTGCTGCGAGAATTCTTAATGCTACACTTGTGATCCCAAAGTTAGACCAGAAATCTTACTGGAAAGACGCCAGGTTCGTTTCTTCCTCCTCAGTCCTCATTTTGCAAAAAAATCGAAACTTTACAGTTCTTAGTAACATCTTACTTTTGTGTGCTTTTATATATGCAGTGACTTCTCGCACATTTTCGATGTTGATTGGTTCATATCATTTCTCTCAAAAGACGTCAAAATCATAGAGCAACTCCCGAAGAAAGGAGGGGAAACATGGAGCCCGAGAAGAATGCGTGTACCGAGGAAATGTAATGAGAAATGTTACATCAATCGTGTATTACCTGTTCTTCAGAAAAGGCATGTAAGTTGTTCCTCCTTTCTCTCAATCTGTTTTGCTTCTTAGCATCATCAACCTTTCTCCATGATGATGCTTATATATGACTTGGTGCTGTGAAATCTATGTTTTCAGGCGGTTCAACTGAATAAATTTGATTACAGACTCTCAAACAAGTTGAGAGACGATTTCCAGAAGCTGAGGTGTAGAGTAAACTATCACGCCCTTAAGTTCACCGATCCGATTCTCGAAATGGGAAACGAACTGGTTCGAAGAATGCGGTTAAGGAGCAAGCACTACATTGCTTTACACCTCCGGTTCGAGCCAGACATGCTCGCCTTCTCGGGATGTAACTATGGCGGTGGCGAGAAGGAGAAGAAAGAGTTGGGATCAATCAGAAGAAGATGGAAGACTTTACATGTATATGCCTAAACAAATCTCATTTGTGTCAATAAAACCTTCTGTTTTAACAGAGTTTAATATTATTGGAAATTTTATAATCTCTCAGGTGAATAATCCGGAGAAGCAAAGGAGACAAGGAAGATGTCCACTTACACCGGAAGAAGTTGGATTAATGCTTAGAGCGTTGGGATATGGAAGCGATGTTCATATATACGTTGCATCAGGAGAAGTCTATGGAGGTGAAGAGTCATTGGCTCCATTGAAAGCACTTTTCCCACATTTCTATTCTAAAGACACTATAGCTACAAAGATGGAGCTGGAACCATTTTCTTCATACTCTTCGAGAATGGCTGCTCTCGATTTCCTTGTGTGTGACGAGAGCGATGTTTTCGTTACAAACAATAACGGAAACATGGCCAGAATATTAGCCGGTCGAAGGTAATTAATTAATTAACCAAAAGATTTCTCTTTTGCTTTTAAGTTTTTTTTTTGTGTGTTGAAGAAAGATTCTTGGTTTTTATTTATGCAGGAGGTATTTTGGACATAAACCGACGATTAGACCGAACGCGAAGAAGCTATACAAGTTGTTTTTAAGCAAAGAGAACACAACTTGGGAGGAGTTTGCTTCAAGAGTGAGGACGTTTCAGAGAGGTTTCATGGGAGAGCCTAAAGAAGTAAGAGCTGGTAGAGGCGAGTTTCATGAGAATCCGGCGGCTTGTATATGCGAAGTTACGGATGTGAAGACGAAAGCGGGGAAGGTGGATTCGAGAAAACTTGGTAAGAAAAATGTTGTGGCAATGAACGATACACATAAGGAAGATGACGATGATGCAGAGTGGTTGGCGGAGAATGATTACGAGGAAGACCAAACTGATTTGCAGGACAGAGGGTTGTTTAATGGTACGAGGTTAGATTATGAGGATGCTTCTTCTGTTTCGGATGAGCCTGAGATTGAAGAAATGCTTTCAGATTGATTCAGTTATATTTAAAGATTCAATATCGGTTTTTTTGTTTTTTTCAACTTTTTTTTTGATGTGGTCTTATATGCCTCATCAATGTCTTCTGTACATATAAATCTAATCCATTTCGTGTTTTTTTTTTCAATTCAATTTCTTACATTTTTTCCGACAAGGATTAGTCGTTGTCTGTTTTCAGAACTTCAGAGCTACTGAATATTGATACGGATAGAATAATATTGGTAAATGATAGATACATTAAGATTCGAAACAAAACGTGTCAAAAGTACATTGTTTTAAATACAGTAGTGCCAAATCCGACAAGGATTTTGAGGTGTCGTGTCTGGGTCAGAGCAAAAGCGAGGCTGAGTTTTTTACTTTAGTCTCGGAAGGAAAGGCTTGACGGATTCGATGACGACCTAACAGTGCAAGAGACATTGATCAGATGAATCCCCAAAGCTCGTTTTAGGTTTGTAAATATATACTTACCCTTCCGTCGTATGATAATGATGCAAAAACCCAAGGCTCGCGTGAGCTCCAAGCAAGGCCTGTGTTTTGATTCAACAGTATTAAGTAACGTCAAGCTGTAGTTTATTCTTACACAAGATAATGGTAAATTATGAGAATTTACCATAAACACTGTCTTCATAATCAGTGTACGAGTTGAGCAGTAGGTTTACGCGCTGACGTGTTGATGCCACAGGGCTGAGATAGATGGTAGGGAACAATATGACTCAAACGTCAAAAACAATGCGAATCATAGGTGAGAGCGAATAATGATAATGAGATTTGTAACAACCTTTCTGAGGCTTTTTCATCAGTGGATGATGATGAAGCATACCACAAGTTGACAGCTGAATCTGTTCCAGCACTCTGTGTTGTACTTCAATTCATCAGTAAACGACACTTTTATTCATCAACATATTTCAGATAAAAACCGCAACAACAACTAATTATCATTCAGTAACTGACACTTTTATACTACGTTGAATGATCCGACTGTGTTAAGAAACATAAAGAAGGAGAAAGAGAGTACCAGAATAAGCCCATCATACTCAGGGTTACACTTGACAGACCATGTCCTGCAAAATTTATACAAATTCAAGTCTCAAGCACTTAGATATAAGCAAAAAGTTTATAAAAGAAAACCAAAACACAAACCTACCAATGTGTATGACCAGGAAGCGATTGGACAGGAACCTTGGCCTTCCGGAGATCCCAGATATGTATACCAGATTCATCCTCTGCAGTTATCTACATAAGCCAATGTTTAATCCATCACAACAAAGTACTATTTTTGTACTTAATCCAAAGGTTGAGGTCCACAAGTTTCTCAAATCAGCTCAATGCATGGATGACATAGAAAAAGCAAAAGAAAACGGCCTGAACACATATGAACACCATTTTTTTTTTTTTTTTTTTTAATATGAACAATTGCTTCCATTTAAAAATGTATTGAGCACTTCTTCGGAGGTACTTGAGAACATAAAGAGGGAAATCTTACAAATGTGTGTTCTCTCTTGGGACTGTAATCAACACCGCGTACATGAGCACGTTCAATTGAATTAACCTTCCTGTGTTGTGCAGACAACATGGTGAACCTCAACATATATACATAGGGTCAAGCGAAGAGGTAAAAAAAAAACAGATATGACACCGAAACGTGAGTATACTCAACGTGTGAAACCTCCTAAGTGCATGCACGAAAGCCTTATGTTAAATGCTCATGGGAACAAAGGAGATGAACAGTGATACCATACTTCATAGTACGGAGGTCCCAGAACTGGACAGATGATTCACCAGTCGCTGCAACAGCATTTACATCGTGTGGACTCCATGCTCCACCAGATAAAGAATGCAACATCCCAGCCGAATCCTTAGATTGAACCTAGATAATCACAAAAACACTAAATACAGGCAAAAGCACACAAAAAAAGACGAGTTTGTCTAATATATCCTCGTAGCTAAATCACCTCAGCAGACTTTTTCGAACAGTCCAAGTTCCACAAGAAAATATTTTGTTCATCCATGCTGATCAACTTGTCACACCTTCCAGAAGGCCACCAAAGAACACTGCTTCCACAAGCGAGAGCGAGAGAAGACAGTGAGTCAGCTTCATAAGATGAGGATAAGAAAAGAAACAAAATTTCCATAAATGACTGCTGAAAACGAATAATCATCAATTCACCAATTAATCTTGCCAACATGTGCATCAAGAGATGCAACACGCTCCAATTGTGGAGAACTCAATTGACCATATAACTCGGGAATTTGCCATATCGCTGCTCCAAACGATTCACCTTAACGGATACACACAAAAAAGCACTATGAGTAAGCTTAAAACTTCTGATTCAACCAACCATGACTATTCCAGAACTCCAATTTCTTGCTAATCAGCTCAAGGATATGCGAATTTACCAGTGGAGAAGACGGTGGAGAAAATGCGTTGATCAAAAGGGCAAGAAGCAAGGTCCCATATCTCATTAGGATGAGAGAACAAACCCTCGCATACCAGCTCAGTTCCACCAGATGACAGACGAAGAAGATGAACCTTTTTTAAAGTATCTCAAATGGTTGGAAACAAACTCTCAGTATCATCTAAATTCAACCGAATCAATACTAAAACACAGTCCAGAACATTGGATTCACCTCGTTTTCTTCTTTCAAACTTAGAGTACCAGTGAGAAAGCTAGTGTAGTCCGTATCGGCTTTCACATCCGATATACATCGAGCCTGAAATGAAATCATATCAAACTTCGTCTATTTAGAGAAGCTAAGGAAATTAACGAAGAACCGAGCAGGAAGAAGATGATAAAATCACCTGATACTTCAATCCGTAACCAATTCCCGACGATCCTCCTTGCATTGTCGCCTGAGCCGTCGCACGGATTCAGGTAGATGGACCACCGGAATCAGATGCCGACCAATTTGATTTTGCCTGGTCATAACTAATGGGCCTCATGTAGGCCCAAATAAAAGAGGGAAGCCCAGTTTTTCATCGTTTGAGCAACTGATCAAAAGTAGTAGTTCATAAACAAATTCCAAAAATTTGAAGATGAAGATAATATCGCTACTCAGGTTACGTAATGGAATCAGCCTAGTCCCATAAATGTCTATAGTCTATTAGGCCACCCATTCATAGTTAGACCGTTGTAACTTTGTTTGATTTCACCCCAAAAAGGCATAGAATCATGAATCCATCATCGGACAGAATGTTATCATTACGTTTTTCTTGGATTGTAAATGGTTTAGAAGTATGATTACGTTTGTTACAACGTCTTACTAAAGCCACAGAGACAAAGGCACGTGATGCTTTCATGATCTTACGACCGTTAATTAAAAATGATGTTTAATTAAGTGGCTTTTTCGAATGATCGAATCTATGGAGAAACGTAACAGTACGTATTGTTTATTTGTATACATTAGATGGATATAATACGCATGGGAATATCCTAACAAGAAAAGCAGTTAAAAAGTAGCAGTAAGATGACAAAATTTGAGGAGCTCCACCATCCCAAAGAAAGAAACATTCCTTTACTTTGTTTCATGGAAAAAATATAAAGAACAAAATGTTACCAACTTTTAAGAGATGGGTTCGTAACTAAAGATCCTCGTGCATTTTTATATTTTAGTTTTACCTCCTATCTTCTCAAAAGTCTCAAAAACCAAAAAGTTCCAGCTCTCACTCCAAGTTTAAGACTTTTAAGTTAGGTCGTGGGCTCGTTCTTTCAGTGATTTCTTTTTGTAAATTGTAGATGAAAGGATAAAGGGTAGCCAATATTATGTTTGCGGATCCCACCACAACTCCTTGATCTAAACTGCATAAAACGTCCATTACTAAGACAAATAGATGAATAGATAGAGTCATAGAGACATAGACTCGGTAAGTGTAATAACAAGATTTTCATGGAGTTTTATATACACTTACGCAGCTTCGACGTAGGGGTTAATATCTTGTAACAAAAAATTGGTTTAAAGCATGAGTTTAGTGTCAACATGTGCATGCTAATGTTACTGTGAGTATGTACTTTTAGAGCATGATTTCATTATACAATATATAATAATACTTTACCTTACTTTGAATCTCAAACCTTTTTCATTTTCAGTTTTAACCTTTTTAGCTTTAACTTTTGTAAACCACGTCTTTTTCCACTTTCTATGCCTCAATGATTCCCATAGTTGAATATTGCATGGTTCCATAGCAAAAAAAAACCATTACAACATTTTGGACCATATTAATTAAATCAATCGAACGTATCGACGACAACAACGCAAGAAATACACCATTTACCATGGAAAAAATGAAGTAATTATATGCAACGTTTATCGTGCTGACTATTAATTGTTATTTGTTACTACTACTAGTTTCCAAACTGAAAGTTTGGTTGCATGTCCCTTCTTAATTATAAAAGGACAAACGGCTCTTCTTGTAATCATAATCATTTATTTACATGAGAAAGTGTCACTGCTCTGTATATGAATTCTCCTTCTGAAATGTAATGCGGTTTTACTATTACAAATTTGCCAAGAATGATACTCAAGTCAACTATTATAAAAAATAGAGACGCCAAAGTCAGCAAAGACAAAATCTAACCAGCCAAACTCGAGTTCTTTCCACTAGGCGAATAATTAACGGTTGATTACTGATCTGTGAGCGTTTCAAATAGCTAGAAATCTTGGATTTCTTATTTTCACAGTTGTGTGGATGGATTAGTCTGGAATTTCTCGGTCATCAAAATATAAGAAAATAAAGCCTACCAATATTACATACATGTAAAGAATTTGTCTTGGTGTTATTAATTTAAAATAAAACTACCTATCAAAATGTAAAAAAAAAATGATCATGGATAAAACTAAAAAAGCTTTGCCTTTTAAAATTATCACTAGATCTTGACCCATGCTTGGAAGCACGGGTAGTTATAATTTATGTTGTGTTGATTTAAGTAATTAACTAATTAATTATGATTTTTAATATATTTGTTTTTCTATTTGGGCTCGGAAATGTGTAATTATGTTCAAATGGGTTGTATAATCTATATGGGCTTCAACTAAATTAATAGAATCGTTGCCAGGTGAGCAAAGTGACATCGTTTTATTAATTTCCAATTCAATAAAATTTCCAATTCAATAACGTTTTTCAAAATTGAATTGGGGGAAACAACTCACAAACCCTAGTTTGTCTGATTACGTGACGACACAATCGTGATTCTTTTAACTCTTATGTCAATTTTCGCTCACATCATCATCAATTGTCGAATCCGAGAGTTCGATCACATAAAGTTTTAGATCTTGACCCGTGCTTGAGAAGCACGGGATGTTGCAATTTTTTATAATAAAAATTTAAGTATTTATATTGTAGTTATGTAACCTATAGTATGTTTGTGATATATATTGATGAATTAATATTTAATTATCTAAGTATTAAATAAAATAAATATGTGATCATTAATTTTTGGGTTTATCGGGCAATAATGTTAAAAATGATGGACATTTGCTAGTAAAATATTATTGTTTTCATGAGATAAGTTGTGTCCCAACATGTATAATTTTTTCGTTGATGAAACTGATAATTATTGATTTTGTCGATATTGTAAACCTAATTTCACGATCATTGTTAAATTTCGACGTGTTGTCGACAGAACGACATGAGCGAATCAAATTCTTTTAATCTAAAATTAATTGTGACCAGTACTGATGAAACCTAGAATAATATATTTTCAGTTTGGTACATTTTTTTCTTCTCTCTTTTGTAAATTTGTCCATAAGACATTTTAAATTCAAGATTGCAAATTTTCACTTTTGATCAGATCCGCTTTTTTATGTCTCGCAGAAAACCCGGATGTAAAGAAATGTTGGTTATGACCTGTGATGTTGCTAATATTTGAATTAATTTAATTTGTGAACATTAAGTTTCTAAAATTGGATATCGTTTTAAAGTTTGATAAAAATGTTGTTGTGACAATGTGTTTTTTTTTAGTTATATTTTAAGCCTCAACTATTTGAATGATATTTATTTATTTTCAACACATATCATTTTTTCTCTTTTTTTTTTGTAAATTTGCATGAGACACGTTAAAGTCAAAATTACAAATTTTCACCATATTAGATCTGTTTGTTTTTATGTCTTTCGGGAAAATTCTGAATCTAAAAATTGTTGGTTCTGACCCATGATGTTACTAACCTTTAAGTTAATTTAATTTGTGAACATTAAATTTTTAAAATTGGATATTATTTTAGATTTTGATTAAAATGTTATTGTGATAACATATGTTTTTTTTTCTATCATATTTTAAGCGTCAATTATATGAATCAGATTTATTTGATCAATAAATTTTGGACTTTCCTTTGACGAAACTAAAAAATCATGTTTTTTTTTCCCACTTTCATTTCTTCTTCCATTTTTTCTCACGACAGTCTCTCTGTGTCTTCTCCTTCTTCACTTTGTCTTTCAGTTCAGTTCCAGAAGCTTCTCTATCCCATTCGTTGCTTGTTCATCTTCACTCAAAATTTGCAAATCTGATAGAAACTGTTGTTTTAATGAGTTTGAATTAAATTATCGACATGCAAATCAGTTAATACCGATAAAACTGCTGCTATCAAATACACACATTCCTGATTTTGCGATTGATCCTAACTGCTACTAAATCCAATCTAAGCAAATAAGAACAATGGTTCTTGTCTAGTCTTGTCCATCACTTCCTTGATTTCTTTGAAGATATACGTTTGTAAGATATATTTGCAATATCATAGAGGTTTCGCAAACCTGTAATAAAAAGAACAAAGCATGTTTAGTAAGACATTAAACATAATAACAATGCACTATATATGTAAAACAATGAAATAAGTGAGTACAATTCCTGAAGCTAATCCACCTTGAGCTAAGGAGGATTTACCTTTTTTCCCTTTTGATTATCTGTAAGATGTAAAATAATAAATTTAGACTTTATGATTTCTTATGCAGCTTCTTCGACAAACAGAAACCCATGTTGTTTTGCTCCTTGATGGTCTTAGGTAAATCTTTTTCATACCTGTACTACCTCCTATGTCTCTGTATAGGGATGTTACTTAATTTTCTGAAAACAGAATTGAAAAAAAAGAACATGACTGGGTTTCGTTTCCCTTTATTATTATTGAATGTCAAATGGTTTTAGAAAACTAACCTATTTCTCTACAAACATAAGATAGAAAAAGGTAATTAGATTTCTCTATGAATAAATGAGATATGAGGAAGAAGCTTTTATTGAGAAATGATATGAAAAGAAACGCACATAGTAAAAGAAAACCTGTTCCAGGCTAACACATAGATTTACATGGCATTGTTTCTTCTTATTGTTGACTGCATACATTCTTGAAAGGTTTGATATCCTTCTTTTTGATTGAAGCTTGTATAACCCTACAAATATGATTCCAGTTCTGTTAGTTTTTGATAACAAACTGAATCAGAAATAACATGTTATTTTTTGCAAGTATCTTACAGTTTTGTTTGACACAATCTCCTCCATTGTTCCATCAGAAAGAATATGAATCATTGAAAGTGACGTGCGGTATGCGTAAATGTGCTTTTTGGTGTTTGCAATGGTGTGGCTTTCTTGTTAGATGGTAGAGAAAGAATTTACCTGTTAAAGAGAGATATCTCCACCCGCATAGACATTTCCAACCTCGTTAGATCTGTAAAAACATAAAAACTATAACATTTAGTAACAGATATATCTAAATAAGAATTTAAACTAAGTTTTGGATCACAAAAAAATAACACATGTTCATTCAATTGGAGGGAGCTTGAATCTTCTTTTAAAAGCTGTTAAAATATTCAGTAGCTTCTTACGAAATCTTTGGAGCATTATACATCCATTTAAAGAAATTCGAATATTAATTTCAAATTAAGAACTTGGTAACAGAATTTCTTTATGAATATCCTACTTCATGAATGTCGTCTCGTTTATGCACTTAATACATTTGTAAATTAGGTATCTTCCATACCGGCATTTGTTAAGTAGCGTACTTTTTGGTAAGATTCCTTTGATTTTGTGTGGATTAGAATATTAGTAAATATGTTATTTGATTATGTATTTTAATTGCGAATTTATTAGGTGCATTTTATGGAAAGAAGGTCTGATTTTCAGCTGGAGAAGTTAATACCCAATTTTCATGGGATTGTCTTTGATTCCTTTTCAAAACCCGGGCCAAATTTCTGCTTTAGAATAATTGATTTATGGTCCTGAACCGTAGCTTTAATTGTTCCGGTTTGATTTAAGTGAATCAAAGATCCGTGTGCTTCTAAATTGATTCGGGTCAGGTCAATATTTTAATTTTAGTATTAATCTCGGGTTTTTTCTGTTTGGAAACAGGGATAGGCTCTTTTGAAAGGTTGAAATAATCCTTATTTTGTGCTTCTGTTTTAATAGTATAGATGATTTAAACTTTAAAGTAACGAAAGAAAATAAAATTAGAAAAAAATAGACGTTATTTAGGAGATCCCGCCACAGGCATTATTGGGCTCCTTTTGTCTCAAACTCAATTCATTTGCTCTCTAATTCTGAAATTCAATTTGTCTCCAATTAAATTGAGTTTAAACTTTAAAGGGAATTTTTGATCCCGCCACTACATAACCATTCTCAATTAATTACACCTTAATCACGTAATTATTTACGTCCATTTATATGTCCAAATTCCATTCCAAGTTTTTTGAAAAACACTTCTTCTCCGACGACCGTTATGGGATGCTCCTGCTCCAAGCTCGACAGTTTACCGGCCGTCTCTCTATGCCGTGACCGCTGCAACTCACTTGAGGAGACACTCCGCCGTAGCTACGCACTAGCCGACGCTCACTCCGCTTATCTTCTCTCATTAAACACCGTCGGTCAATCTCTTCATATATTCTTCGATCAAGCCGTCGAGTCTCCGCCGGATGTTGACACCGAAGTCGAAAAATCGCCGGATACATCTTCCCCGGAATCATCTTCCTCACCTCGCTCCGTCAGCAGCTCCGATTCCGATTTGCCTCCCAAATTCGACTCGGATTGTGAGGAAGATGGAGACGCTAGTAAGAGTTGCGATCTCTTAAGATGTCCAACACTCGAAGACCTAAACCCCAAGGAGCCTCCGGAATCGGTTTTCTACTCCCGAGTTTACGAATCCGGTGCTGGATCTCCGCCGCCGCCGCCGCCTCCGACTACTTACGCTTGGGATTTTATCAATTTCTTCGAGAGTTATGAGATTCCGTACACTGCAAATGCTAACGATTTGAAGGATATAGCCGAAGAAGATAAAGCGACGAAGGAGACTCAGAAGAAGAAGGTTCCTATTTGCCAAATAAAGGAGAAAGTTAAAGGTGAACAAGAGAGAAAACATCTGAAAATCTCAGACAAGAAGAAAAATGAAACGGAGAAAAATCGGAAGAAGAGTGCTCCGAGAGAATCTAAGGATCAAAAGGTTTCACTGGATTTATCAGAAGTGACAAAGCAATTGCAGGAAATGTTCAAGAAAGCTTCAGAAGCAGGGAACGATGTCTCGAAGATGTTCGACAGTTCGAGATTTAGATATTACCAGAAAAGCTCTGTTTATCAAGGTATTGTTCAAATTTCTTAACCTTGTTTGTTATCATTATCTGCTCTCTGTTTGAAATTGAAATCCTGATCGATTGGATCTATTTTTTTTATATTAGCTTCTTCAAACAATCTCTACGCAAAGAAGATGACTCCTTTGGATCCCAAACCAGTGGAAGATTTCGGAAATAATTTCAGTAATCTTTCATCTACTCTAAAGAAACTGTTCATGTGGGAGAAGAAACTGTACCAAGAAGTTAAGGTAAATCAAAAAGCTGAATTATTTACGCCAAAAATTGTTTATGTGCCCTAATCTTTTGTTTGTTGTTTTCAGGCAGAAGAGAAACTCCGCACATCTCACATGAAGAGTTACAAACAATTGAGGAGATTGGAACAGAAAAATGCGGATCTTAGCAAGATCGAAGCCGTTCGCTCTACGATTCAGTGTTTGTCTACGAGAATGAGAGTCTCTATCCATAAGATAGACAACATTTGTCTAACCATAAACAAGTTACGCGATGAAGAACTCTGGTCCAAGATGAAAGAACTAATCCATAGGTATTAAATAAATAGCATTACCATAAGTCTTTAAGCTTTTGTTTGAGAATAATCTCATGACCAATGTCATCTTCTTGTGCCTTAATTTAGGCTGTCTGAGATGTGGAGCTCTATGCTAGAATGTCACAGTAGACAATCAAGAGTAGTCGCAGAGGCTAAGAAGCTTGATAAGATGACATTAAAGGGAAACCTAGACATATCTCAGCTTGAGCTTGCCATGGAGTTGAAACTGGAGTTGAGGAAATGGAGCCAAAGCTTATCGAACTGGATAGAAGCTCAGGGTCAATACGTTAAGGCCTTGAACATTTGGCTAATGCGATGTCTGAAGCATGAACCTCAAGAACCAACACCAGATCTCTCAGAAGAGCCACCATTGTTTGGTGCTATTAACAGTTGGTCACAAAACCTTGAGAGATCAGACGGAGAGAAGGAGTTTACGGAAGCGGTTTACGCGTTCGTGATGCGTGTAAACTGTCAGGTGGAGAAACAGAGAATGGCATTGGAAGAGAAGATGAATGTTAATGGGGACGCAAAGGATATAGAGAGGAAACTTGTGATGTTAGAGAAGGAAGAACAGAAGTTGCAGAGGAAGATGAAGGCAGTACCATGTGTTGAATCAATGGGGAGTTTAAATCTGAAGTGTAACATGGAACAGATTTTCAAATCTATGGAGAAATTAGCCACAGGCTCGAAGCAGGCTTATGATGAACTTGACTTGATGTGCACGTGATGTCCCGTTTTGTTTTAGTTCTTACAAATTCTTCTCTCCGTCCGTGGTGTTTCTTTAGTGTTCATGGAAGAGTTTTAAATTTAATTGCATGAAAACTTAGATTATGGGGGATTCAGCTTTGTACTTTTTTCTTTCTATTACTCATGCTTTTAAATATGAAATACACTCTAGTCATAAATTCACAAGTGACTACGGAAACAGCAATTTATATCAAATTAACAGTTTTCCTATACCAATATGATAAAGATGTTGTATTTTTTTTTGGATTTTTTTTTTATAAAGATGTTGTAAATATCACAAGAACATCACCTTTAAAAGACACATTACTCAGACTGGTTATCAAAACAAATCATAATTCTATTTCTTCTTAACAATTTACCAATATACATATTCTAATATATAAATTGAAATTAAATAATTTGAGTAACTAAAATGGCTCTAGAAAATTTAAACATCCAAAATTAAAGCCATTCTTTAACAATCTATTTATTTCTTTTATTTCATACTACTAAATAAAATAAAATAACATAATATTTTCTCACTTATATTACATGTACGAATTGTGAACATTTTGTCTAGTTAGGGTTTAAAAGTTTATTTTTGCTAAAGTATATTTATGTAAACATTTTTATTTCTCATTTGGAAAGCTATTTTTCTGCTTTATCGAGTACCAAATATACGTTTTTATTGTTTTTATCCAAAAACGTATTCAAAATAATTAAAGGACTCGCCTATAATAATTAGAAGACCTGCCTATAATTTAATGATTCCAAATATAATTAAAGACCATATAATTATATCCAAAACTGCGAATTTGGTATTTGGTAAAGACGATGAAAGAATTTATCATAACTCTCCTAAATCTGTTGAAATTGTTGGGTTTGAAGGTTGGGAAATTTTCGTCCTCGTCCCCAAAATTGTTATACTTTGGAATCAGAGAGTCGTGGTCTCATGCAACAATCTCCACATATCGTGGTTCTAAATTTCTGTGAACAACTCTCTTCTCATGCATGTCCCTAACACCTTCAACAAGACCCCTAAAACAATTTCAAAAATATTAGTTTAAAGATTACTGATTACAAATAATATGAATACTATAACAGATTAATCCCACGATATGTTCGTATTATCTTAAGTAAGCATCAATGTTACTATGCTACAAGTCGAAAAAAATGTGTTGTGAGAATTATGATGTAATTTCAAAATATGAGAATAACAATAAAGAGATGGTGGAGGATTTACTTTAATCTATGTTTTTCGTGTTGGAAGAATTTTAAATTTAATTACAAAAAAAATTACATTTGATTATGGAAATTAGACATTTATTTACAATCAATATGTATCGTGTGTTTTCTTATTGATTTTTTATAATAAGATATATTCTAATAGTTGTCAAAAAAAAATGACTTAGGGGTCATAAACATTTAAAACCTCAGGGTTTCCTTGCGGCACAAGTTTTGGGAAAACACACACAAAAACTTTAGAAACGAAACTTAGGATTCAGCGAGCCAGTCAGTTTTCTATCTTCCATAGGTGTTTACTACTATTGATTAAAAAAAAAAAAAAAAAAAAAAAAAAAAAAAAAAAAAATCTTACGAATACCAAAGTGACATCTTGTTTAGTTATTTTGTTTTGTACATGGTCCATACACTAAACGTCCATACAATCGTCAGTAAACCTGATTCTATACGGACCCACGTTACTGCTCTGATTGCTTCTGAATCTCTGATACTTGGGCACATACAAATTCAATCAATTCAGATACATGTGCCCAAGCCCAATTTAAGGGCCCATACAATCTTAAAGAGCTCCACGTCATTGTGAAGCTTATTAAAAAAAAAACATAATTTTCACGCGGCACCCAACAAACTGGAAGTATCGCGGACGGCGGAACACATATGGTCGGCGGCGGCTTTAGACTAGTTTACAAAAGTCAAACGTCTTCTCAGCCAATACTCTCTATTATAAGTCAAAAGTTACAGAGAAACTAATCAGAACACAGAAAGATCCACAATGGCTTCAATAGATTCTCGAAGTGGTTTCTGCAACTCGAATTCGACATTCTACAGCAAACGGACTCCAATTCCGTTGCCGCCTAATCCGTCGCTCGACGTTACCACTTTCATATCTTCTCAGGCTCACCGCGGCCGTATCGCCTTCGTCGACGCCGCCACAGGCAAGAATCTCTCCTTCTCCGAGCTATGGCGCGCCGTGGAATCCGTCGCCGATTGTCTCTCCGAGATGGGGATTCGCAAGGGTCACGTCGTCCTTCTCCTCTCCCCGAACTCAATTTTGTTCCCCGTCGTCTGTCTCTCCGTGATGTCACTCGGCGCCGTTATCACCACCACGAACCCTCTCAACACTCCCGGCGAGATCGCCAAACAGATTAAGGACTCAAACCCCGTGCTCGCCTTCACCACCTCGCAGCTCCTCCCGAAAATCGCCGCCGCGACGTCGGGTTCTAAGAAGCTCCCGATCGTGCTCATGGACGAGGAGCGAGTTAACTCAGTGAGTGAGGTGAGAAGATTGGTGGAAATGATGAAGAAGGAGCCGAGTGGAACCCGAGTTAAGGAGCGAGTCGACCAGGATGACACGGCGACTCTGCTTTACTCCTCCGGAACCACCGGGATGAGCAAAGGAGTGATCTCCTCTCACCGTAACCTAATCGCGATGGTGCAAACAATCGTGAATCGATTCGGATCTGACGACGGATCGCAAGGAGAGCAACGCTTCATCTGCACCGTCCCTATGTTTCACATCTACGGCTTAGCTGCGTTCGCCACCGGACTCCTCGCTTACGGATCGACGATCGTCGTTCTCTCCAAATTCGAGATGCACGAGATGATGTCGGCGATTGGCAAGTACAAAGCCACGTTTCTTCCTCTCGTGCCGCCGATCCTTGTGGCGCTGATCAACGGCGCGGATCAGATCAAGGCTAAGTACGACCTGAGCTCTCTGCACACCGTTTTGTGCGGCGGAGCTCCGTTGAGCAAGGAGGTGACCGAGGGATTCGCTGACAAGTATCCGACGGTCAAGATTTTACAAGGGTATGGTTTGACCGAGTCAACGGGTATAGGAGCTTCCACGGATACTGTTGAGGAGAGCCGAAGATACGGCACCGCAGGGAAGTTATCGGCAAGTATGGAAGGGAGGATCGTGGATCCGGTTACGGGTCAAGTTCTTGGACCGAACCATACCGGTGAGCTCTGGCTCAAGGGTCCTTCCATAATGAAAGGTACTTTTGAGTTTTGACTCTTCAAGGATTCTTAAAAGCAGGAACATTTTACCAATTTTGGTCTTTTGGATGTTGTTGTTCTTGGCAGGTTATTTCAGCAATGAGGAAGCTACGAGCTCTACTCTTGATTCTCAAGGATGGTTAAGAACTGGAGATGTGTGTTATATAGATGAAGATGGATTTATTTTCGTGGTTGATCGGGTAAAGGAACTGATTAAATACAAAGGATACCAGGTAAAATATACAACCATGGTCGATATAATCTTTATGCAGCATTAGGGAAAGCTGATGAATCATATAATCTTTTGGAATAATGAATTGCTGATTGAATCACATCCTCTGCAGATTTTACCAGATTGTAGATTAGTAAAGCATTGAATTATTGGCTTTATCTAGAGAAATGAAAATTGTGCTAAACATCTTTTGGTGACCATTGCGTAGGTCGCTCCAGCTGAGCTAGAGGCTTTGTTGCTGACTCATCCTGAAATCGCGGATGCTGCAGTCATTCCGTAAGTCACAACAACAACAACAACAACCGGTCGTCGTTTTTTTACGATAGAGTCTTCGTTTTGAATGTTTTGGCGATTTACAGGTATCCGGACAAAGAAGTGGGGCAATTTCCAATGGCGTACGTTGTAAGGAAAACAGGGGGCTTCTTATCAGAGAAGTCGATAATGGAGTTCGTAACGAAACAGGTAGCACCGTACAAGAAGATACGAAAAGTGGCTTTCGTATCTTCCATACCAAAGAATCCTTCAGGCAAGATTTTGCGTAAGGACCTCATCAAGGTCGCAACTTCCAACTCCAAGCTTTGAAATTGTTACAAGACTTAATAAGAGCCATTTCCTCGTGTTCTAATTAATATTTGTACTGTAGAAAATATGACCTTGAGGTCTCAAAACACAAAAGATTACACATTACACATAAATAGCATGAAGAACATTACTGTTTACTTAAAAGTTATATACAGAGTGTAACCTTCAAAATCTTATAATCATCAAATATCAGATCAGGGCAGCCAAATTTTATTAAAAAAAAAGTTATTTAAGCCAAAGCCAAAACATTGGATACTATCATACTACACTATACACCTAATTAGTTACACCATTTAACAAATTTCTCATCTTATATGATGTAGATGTACCTGATTTTGTTTAGGCAGTTTCACGTTTTTCATATGGACAGAGTTTAGTTAGGTGATGAAACTTCTTAAACATTGAAACAATACATAAATTGGAACTGCTATTAAGTATAAAAATCCCTTAATTTTTCATTCTTCATTAAGCATTGGATTCTAATACCTTATAAATTCAAATAGACCATCTCTGTTCTCCCTACAAAGACTTGGCTTACTTGTTGGGGTATTCTCGGAGATGACTCTTTCGGTATCTACCGTCGGGTTCCGAAGACTCGCTACCACCCGTTTCTCACATATGGTTTCAACTCCGCGGTCTGGCGGAATCGCACCATTAGGTTGCCAAAAGCTTCCTCTCCCCTCTCTTTTTGGGAGGATTGGCTCGCTGTCCCGGCTAGTCCTTCCTCAGCTTAATCACTTTCTCGGGTTACAGCTCAATCCCCGGAACTTCTTTTCAGACGCATCAACCGATCCATCAAAAGGTTTGCCAATTCAATGGCTCTCTCTCTCTTTGTTCTTTGGTTTAGATAGCTTGCACTGGAAGTAAAGTTGATAGCTAAACCCTATGTTCTGAATTCTTTTAAAATGCTTCAAGAAGTGAGACCTGTGTTTTGATTTATGTGTTATATTCAACAATCTCAGAGCTGGAGAAAACGACGGACTCCGAAAAAACATCATCATCATCACCACTCATAGATCCTAGAAACGGTTTCTGTATTGCAAACTCGACGTTTTACAGTAAACGCAACCCATTGCAATTCCCGGCGAACGCCTCGCTCGACGTCACTACATTCATCTCCTCTCAAACGCACCGCGGCACCACCGCCTTCATTGACGCCGCCACAGGCCATCGTATAAGCTTCTCCGGTCTTTGGATCGCCGTCGATCGCGTAGCCGACTGTCTCTACCACACCTTCGGCATACGGAGAGGCGACGTCGTTCTCATCCTCTCTCCAAACTCTATTTCCATCCCCGTCGTCTCCCTCGCCGTCATGTCACTCGGCGCCGTCGTCACCACCGCGAATCCTCTCAACACCGCCGGTGAGATCTCCAGACAGGTCGCAGACAGCAATCCAAAGCTAGCCTTCACAACTCCCGATCTGGCTCCCAAACTCGCTGCCAGCTCCGCCGCTATCTCCGTTGTCCTCACGGAGGAGGACGACGACTATAAGCGCGTGGGATCCGCTCTCGGAGTCCGGGTCGTTGGGAATCTGAGCGAGATGATGAAAAAGGAACCGAGCGAGCGGCGAGTCAGAGACCGAGTTGACCAGGAAGAAACGGCGATGCTTCTCTACTCGTCGGGAACCACGGGAAGAAGCAAAGGAGTGATATCGTCTCACGGAAACTTAATCGCACACGTGGCGAGATTCATCGCGGAGCCACTGGAGCCGAACCAAACCTTCCTTCTCACGGTACCGATGTTCCACACCTACGGATTACTCAACTACGTCATGGCGACCGCGGCTTTGGGTTCGACGGTGGTGATTCTCCGGAGATATGATCTCCACGAGATGATGGCGGCGGTGGAGAAGTTCAGAGCCACGAGTCTGGTTTTGGTGCCGCCGATTTTGGTAGCTATGATCAACGGCTCAGATTTGATCAAGGCCAAGTACGATTTGACATCACTGAAAACGGTTAGATCCGGTGGGGCCCCATTGAGCAAGGAGATTACGGAGAATTTCATAGAGAGATATCCAACGGTTGATGTCTTTCAAGGGTACGCTTTGACGGAATCTAACAGCTCAGGAGCTTCGACGGATTCGGTGGAGGAGAGCCAGAGATACGGTTCGGTGGGGTTGTTGTCGTCTGGTGTGGAGGCGAGGATCGTGGCTCAGGATACGGGTCGGGTCATGGGTGTCAACCAAACGGGCGAGCTCTGGCTCAAAGGCCCCGCCATTACAAAAGGTACGCTAACTATATAAAACGGTATTTACCAGCCAAAAAACTATATTAACGGTAACCAAAACAAGGGTTGTCGAATTTATTTTATATTCGTGTTGGTGATAAAGGTTATTTTAGGAATGAAGAAGCTACAAAAGAAACTATTAATTCACAAGGATGGCTTAAAACTGGAGATCTCTGCTGTATCGATGATGATGGATTTCTTTTTATATTGGATCGATTGAAAGAATTGATCAAATACAAAGCTAACCAGGTTAGAAAATTATCTTCTTCTTCTTTTTTCATATGAAGGTTGGAAAACAATCTTCGTTTAATTATTCGGATAAATTTGGTCATCCATGTTTAACAAAGAAAATAATCTTCGTTTAATTTAATTAACGCGCTGAATCATTGGCTCGATCTTTATCAAAGATATGAGATAGTGCTAAACTTTTGTTGGTGATCGTTGTGTAGGTCCCTCCAGCTGAGCTAGAGGCTTTGCTATATACTCATCCTGAAATCGTCGATGCTGCAGTAATCCCGTAAGTCACAACAAACACTCGGTCATTTTTGTACCAAAATAGTCTCGAGTTTTCTAATTGGTCTTTTGGCGATTTACAGGTATCCAGACAGAGAAGTGGGGCAATTTCCGATGGCGTACGTTGTAAGGAAAACAGGGAGTTTCTTATCAGAGAAGTCGATAGTGGAGTTTGTATCAAAGCAAGTAGCACCGTACAAGAGGATACGAAAGGTGGCTTTCGTATCTTCGATACCAAAGAATCCTTCGGGCAAGATTCTGCGCAAGGATCTCATAAAGCTCGCAACTTCCAACTCCAAGCTTTGAAATGAGAACCTACCTCCGTGTATTATTAATATTTGTACTGTAGTAAATCTGTTACCTTTGTTGAAAGATGAGTCTGAGGCTGAGGTCTCAAACTACAGAAGATTACACATAAGTAATGTGGAGATAGCATTACTGTTTAATTTTATATATAGAGAATACTTTCAGAACATGTTTTTGATCAAAATATTAGCCAAAGATAAAAGCTTGGATGCTACGCTACACCTAATTTATTACACCATTTAACAAATTTCCTATGGTATTTGACGTAAAGACTTATTCCTGAAGTTGTATAACATCGCAGAGGAGAGGGTGTGCGCGCCAGAGCGAAGAAAGGCCGTTACGGATGGTGAGAGCAAACTCTGCCCAAGTGACCTAATGATTTGTCTTTTGTGTCACTGCTCTGTTTTGAACCACAAGCCAAAACTGCTGTTATGAATCGTGCAAAAATGTCAAACTTTCTTTAAATCTGTTATGTCCAAAATACTGAAATAGACAGATCTCTAAGCAATGAATTTTTTAAAAATGTAGTAGTGCCAACATTTTTTTGTTCCCTTGTTCGAGCCATTGTAGATGTACGGATAGCTAGTTAAACATTAGATATGAGACTAGAGTTATAAATCTTGATTATGTCAGAATAATATTAGCTCATGGCAAAACTAAAGACTAGTTATGTGAAAAAGAAAAAGATCTATTTATTTATGCCCAACCTAAAATATGGTGGATACTATAATTTGTGATATCATTTCTATATCTCCTGAGCATATGATATAACATGTGCCTGACTAATTGTCGGGGATTTCTTGGAATATGTACAGGTAGATTCACGTTTTTCATACTGACAAACTGTAGAACTTCGTCGGCATGAAAAAAATAAATAAACAGAAACTACGCTTAAATTAGGTTCTATAGCCAATTCAAAAGAAGCCTATTCAATAATTTAAATTTCCTTTTAGTCAGATTGCAAATTTACATCATTGTTTTTAGAAAGATTAGAAGTCCTAATTAAAACGAAGGAAAAAACCACCTATTCAATAATTTAAAAGAATGAAAAAATCTCTCACTAGATAAATAAAATTAAAATACCAAATACTACAGAAAAAAGAAAAAAATTCTGATCTTTTAACTTTTTGGGTCAGTTTCTTGAATTTATCTCTTTTTAGTCATTTTTTATTTATTTGGTAGATCATAGTAAAAATCTAGTGTAACATATTTGTTACCTTAAATATTTTAAGAAAATCTACTGATTTTTTCAATTATTAAATTCTTTTAAATTTACCAAACAAATAATACTAATTTTTTTCCTTTATAATCTAAAAACATACGTTTTATATTAAAACCCCCTTAAAGAATGATTGCCAGATTAAAGAAAATATTTCGAGTTTTTGTCTTTCACACTTAAAAATATTACGAAATACCACGGAAAATATTTTAAAGATACATTATGTTAACAAGTGTCTAATTAAAAAAAAAAATGCCGAGTTGTTAGGATTCATGGCGTATTGGCGCGTGTCAACTTATTTAATCTCAGCCAGAGCTCTCCATGACTCCATCTACTCTCCTGAAGAAAAATGGCGAATTCCCAAAGATCAACATTACTCATTGATCCTAGAAACGGTTTCTGCAAAGCAAACTCAACGTTTTACAGCAAACGCAACCCATTGCCACTTCCGGCGAACGCCTCGCTCGACGTCACAACTTTCATCTCCTCTCAACCTCACCGCTGCACAACCGCCTTCATCGACGCCACTACAGGCCACCGCATAAGCTTCTCCGATCTCTGGAGAGCCGTCGATCGCGTCGCTGGCTGTCTCCACTATGAAATCGGGATACGAAGAGGCGACGTCGTACTCATCCTCTCCCCAAACTCCATCTACATTCCCATCGTCTGCCTCGCCGTCATGTCTCTCGGCGCCGTCGTCACCACCGCGAATCCTCTAAACACCGCCGGTGAGATCGCCAGACAGATCGCCGACAGCAACCCAACGCTCGTCTTCACGAGTCCCGATCTGGCTCCAAAACTCGCGGATTCCGGTATCTCCGTTGTCCTCGAGCGCGTGGGGCCCACTCGTGGAGGAGTGAGAGTCGTTGGGATTCTGACTGAAATGATGAAGAAGGAACCGAGTGGGCAGCGAGTCAGAGACCGAGTTGAGAAAGACGAAACGGCGATGCTGCTCTACTCTTCCGGGACGACGGGAAGAAGCAAAGGAGTGAAGTCGTCTCACGGAAACTTAATCGCACACGTGGCGAGATACATAGCGGAGCCAGCGGAGCAGGCGGATCAGATCTTCCTCTGCACCGTTCCGATGTTCCACACCTACGGAATGATGATATTCGCTATGGCTACCGTAGCATTGGGCTCGACGGTTGTGATTCGCCGGAGGTTTGAGCTCCACGAGATGATGGAGGCGGTGGAGAAGTACAGAGCCACGATTCTGGCTTTGGCGCCGCCGGTTTTGGTAGCCATGATTAGCGGAGCGGATCTGATCAAGGCCAAGTACGATCTGAGCTCCCTGAGAACGGTTAGGTGCGGTGGAGCGCCGTTGAGCAAGGAGGTGACGGAGGGGTTTAAGAGGAAATATCCAACGGTTGATATTTTTCAAGGGTACGGTTTGACGGAATCAAACGGTGCAGGAGCTTCGATTGATTCGGTGGAGGAGAGTCGGAGGTACGGTTCGGTTGGGTTGTTGTCGTCCGGTTTAGAAGCGAGGATCGTGGATCAGGGTCGGGTCATGGGTGTGAACCAAACGGGCGAGCTTTGGCTCAAAGGGCCCTCTGTTGCCAGAGGTAACAGAAGCTGGTCTGTAACATACATACAGTGTTCAAAAGTTCAAAACGCTAACGTTTTTGTATTTATTTTGTGTAAAAAGGTTATTTTAGGAATGAAGTAGCTACGAAAGAAACAATTAGTTCAGATGGATGGCTTAAAACCGGTGATCTTTGCTATATCGATGACGATGGATATCTTTTCATCGTTGATCGATTGAAAGAGCTAATCAAATACAAAGGTTATCAGGTTTGAAATAATCAACGTTATGTCATTTCGGATAAATTTGGATATTAATATTTGGTTTAGCAAACAAACAAAAAAAATCCCATGCAAAAATCTAACGTTTTTTGGATTGTATAAAAGGTAGCTCCAGCTGAACTAGAAGCTCTCTTGCTGAGTCACTCAGATATTCTTGACGCTGCCGTTATACCGTAAAGTCTTGCCATCACTTTTATTTGTTTTTCGATTAAGACTACAAAAGTTTTGCTTTTAAAACATCAAAACAAACTCAACGAACATGTAGTTCTCTTTTTCCTTGTTGGCTTTGTGTAAATTGTAATGCAAAGGTTTCCAGACAAAGAAGCAGGACAAGTTTACTTCGAAGCTTTAAAAGAATCATGACACTGTTACTTCTATTTGCATATGTTTCTCAACATAACAAGAGAATAAGTTTCTAATTAATCTAGTAATGAATAAAAACCTATTTTCAATCAGTTTTCTTTGAAAATATATAATGTGGTTTTAAATCACGCGTAAGGGATTTCTCGGCATACAAGTTTTTGCTCGCTTATGTGTTTGTAATGTAATTGGCCTATTTTACAATCTATGATAATTGAACTTGTTAAATGTGTGAAAAACATAAATATTATGTTTAGTTATTTTTTGAAAAAAAATAATCATAATTTGTATGCCGAAATATACATTAAGAGAATGTATTGAATAAGTGATTTTAGATGAATTAGAGTGATTTCATTATATATGATTCTGGTTGTTATGATTTTAATGAAAACACTTAAAAACTTTGATATTTGGAGAGTCAAATTTTAACTAAAAAAACTCCGTGGCAAATTTCAAAACTACACATTTTTGAATGTACATTTTCAAAACTACATTTCTATAGTGTGTATTTTCAAAACTACAGTTTTTCATTAAAAATAAAACTATAAACCCAAAATTTAAACCCTAAACCCTAAAAACTGACCTTAAACTCTTAAATATAAACCCTAAACCCCAAAATCCAAACTATAGTTAGGGATTAATGAACCCAAACTTAGATGTTAAATTTATAAAAAGTGTAATTTTGAAAATTTATACCATATAGGTGTAGTTTTGAAAATTGATACCTCATACATGTATTTATTAAAATTTCTCTTAAAACAACTTAAAATCACAAGAGATCACTAAAATTCACCACTTAAAATATTTATAATAACACTGAACTTTTTAAAGCACACTTTAAAATATTAGGTTTAATAACACTAGATTTTACATCACTTTTAAAATTTTGTGTTTTCATAATAAATAATTTTTCATTTTAACACAAATCACTCTAAAATCTAAATTATCTCAAATAATAGTTGAATACATCCAAACAAAAAAAATAAAAGTGAGATTGCTAGAGTGTTTAAGGTTTCCGAAATCCTCCACTCTACCGATCACCCTCCACGTTTTCCATTCGTTATTCGGTGGGGCCCACTAAATTATTATGCTGACGCTGGTCCCGCTAAAATATTATTTAAAAATCTTAACAGTTCTCCAATAATGGAATGAAAAAAATGTAAACTATGACCAACTTTTTTGAATGATAATATCTATATATAATAGCAAACTCACTTTTTGTGTTCGCTGACGTCATCATTTTTTGTAGGAGAAAAAAAAAACACATCCAACGGCCATAATCTTAACTAATCAATCAAACAGACGGTCACGATTAATCAGAAAACCCACTATTCGGACACTGCTGATGTCATCATTTTAAAAACTCATCCAACGGTCATAATCTTATCTAACTAATTAAACGGATGGTCAAGATTAATCAGAACAAAATCTGCAGCCAAGGTTGCGTTGTTCACGAAGGCGTCTCTCTTTTGCTCTGCGAAATGGTGCAATCATTAGGTAGAGATGCGTTAGGAAAAGTCATCTCTTTTGGATTGAACGAACGTGTCTTTTTAATCGCAGCCATTTGAGTAGCCTCTCCTCATAGTTATATTATATATAATCCAATTCGTTATAGATTGTTACTTTTTCCATGAAGTTCTCACAACATGTATCGTCAAACGATTACGGTGGTTATCTCTGGCGTTCATCATCACCATTCCGAATAATCGTCAATTACAATCACCATTTGAATCTAATTCCCACAGTTATGTTGACCGAGACGGATAGAGGTATACATACTCTTCTTAGATTGATGCTTAAAATCCTTTTACGATTTCTTAACACGTTTTCTTAGTCAAAATTGTTTGTTTGCATGATAGATGTTGTTGTTACTATCTGCTGATTGCACTAACAACATCCGTGTTTACCTGCCTTCTTTCCGGTATGTGTTTGTATATGCATGAACCTAGGATTCTGAAAAATAGATTGCCGAGAATCAAAGAAGGGAGAGTCCACAACTATTACGGCAGTCTGCTCAGATGGAACAGGCGATGATCACATTGAACGTTTTTTTTAACTCCGACGCCTCTTGTTCATAACACTTCTCTGAAATAACAAACCTTTTCATAATCGCCTCCTTCTTGTTCTTCTTTTGTTCCAGCCACAAAACTCCACATAACCGATAGAGTTATAAACGAAAAATGGAAGAAGGTGATCATAAGTAGACATCTTCGAAAATTGAAACCATGATTGAATTTTGTAACTTCATAAAGATACACTGAAAAGGTGTAAGAAACTTTAGTTTGAATGGTTATTCAATTTTGGAAAGTCACGTACCAATACGAATAGTGACGTATCGTTACGAACGTTTGCGTCTGTTCATGTAAAAATCAGTATATAAGTTGCGGTCTTGTGTAAATGTAAAGAAAGCATGACATAAATAAAATTTTCAGATTTAATACTTTTTCCTTCTGCGACTTTTAATTTCTTTGATCGGCATCGACATCGTTTCACTCTTTGTTTTAGGTTTTCTTTTTCCTTTTCACCTTCGGGTCATGTGCATTTTCCAGAATATGGATTAGTGATTACGGAAAGAGGTGTCGACTGCGGAAGAAACCGACAGAGAGACGTCAGAAACGGCGAGAAATCACGCGGAAGCTAGGTGAGGGATGCGAGATAGAAGAATCGGAGAAGAAAATGAGGGAGAAGAGAAGAGTAGCTCCGAATCTGATGGGTTCGAGAAGATAGGACCAACAGTGGATTATCCGGGAGAGGAGATGCAGTGGCCCAATCATCTACTGTTCCATAGCTTTTTTACCGAAGATTGGCGGCGAAAAGAGTTGTTTATAGTAATGTTGTCACTCACGCCCATAATGGTATCAACAAACATGTTGAGTTCTTGTCCTTAGTTTTTTCACACAGTTTCCTTGATTCCTCGATTGTTTCTATTAAAATAATTTAAAGAAAAAGTTTGTCTAACCCAAACAAATTGTGACATTTGGAATATTTTTGAACAATTGAAATGAGTTCTTCAACGTTTCAGTAGGAAGGGTACCTTCTCTTTAGAACACGTCTCCTTCATTGAAACGTCACCATTTACATACACTTCCTTTTGTTAAATGCTTCCACCTTTTCGGAGTTGAATTGTCAATTACTGTCTCCTAAAATTTGTCTGGGTGGGCTCTCTACATATTGGTTTACAACTCTCATGAATGGTTTTTTAATAGTTATCAAATTCTCTTATGATTCCTAATTACCTACAAGAAGGGGAGGGGACAACTGTGATGATCGATTGCCTTAATTAGGAGAATATGATTAACGAAAAGACGAATGGATGCATTTCTCTTACTTGGAGTTTTTAAAGTGTTAACTAAATTAAGAAAATGAAGAAAATAAACAACAAAAAACAAATTTCTAATGCTTTCTTCTTCTTTGTGCATCGAAGTAAATGATATAGTGATTAAGAATTTAAGATGTATGAACATTAAGATACCGTTTTTCACATGCAGATAGAGCAGCGTTAAGTATTTTTGATCACACAAAATAATTTAACTAACGTTTCCCTATTTTAACGTTACCCTTGGTTTTAAACTTCAAATATGTTCTTGAACAAAATGGACATTCTAATATAATAATGTAAATTTACCGAGAATGAGTCATATAACTCATATTATATTTTTAAAAATCATGTATATATATAATAAAAAATGCTATCTCATATATTTTATAAATGCAGATTTCAAATACAGATTTAATTTGACATAAAATATTGTTAATTTATTTTAATTTTCTAATAAGAAATTTAATTGAGCGCGTTGGACGCGCGGGTTTGCTACTAGTTATCATAATCAAAAACACTCAAGTTCAAAAATTGTTTGAGATAGAAAAAATGGCGGATTCCGAAAGAACATCATCACTCATAGATTCCAGAAGCGGTTTCTGCAAATCAAACTCTACATTCTACAGCAAACGCAACCCACTGAATCTCCCGCCAAATCCTTCTCTTGACGTCACAACTTTCATCTTCTCTCAGCCTCACCGCGGCACCACCGCCTTCATCGACGCCGCCACAGGCCACCGCATGAGCTTCTCCGATCTCTGGAGAGCCGTCGATCGAGTCACGGACTGCCTCCACCATGAAATCGGAATTCGTAAAGGCGACGTCGTCCTCATCCTCTCCCCAAACTCCATCTACATTCCCGTCGTCTACCTCTCCGTCATGTCTCTCGGCGCCGTCGTCACCACCGCAAATCCTCTAAACACCGCCGGTGAGATCTCTAGACAGATCGCTGACAGCAAGCCAACGGTCGCCTTCACAACTCCCGATCTAGCTCCCAAACTCGCCGATTCCGGTATCTCGATTGTCCTCGACGGCGCCGGATCCATTCCCGGAGTCAGAGTTGTCGGGATTTTGAGCGAGATGATGAATAAAAAACCGAGTGGGCGACGAGTCAGAGAACGAGTCAACCAGGTCGACACAGCGATGCTGCTCTACTCATCGGGAACCACAGGACCGAGCAAAGGAGTGATCTCGTCTCACGGGAATCTAACCGCTTACATGGCGAGAATGGTCGCTAGGAAATCGATGCAAGGCCAGATCTTCCTCTGCACCGTTCCGATGTTCCACACCTTCGGATTATTGACCTTCGCTATGGGCACCGTAGCTTTGGGCTCCACGGTGGTGATCCTCCGGAGATTCGAGCTACACGAGATGATGGAGGCGGTGGAGAAGTACAGAGCCACGGTTCTGGCTTTGGCGCCGCCGGTTATAGTGGCTATGATTAACAGAGCAGATCTGATCAAGGCCAAGTACGATCTGAGCTCCCTGAGAACGGTGAGGTGCGGTGGAGCGCCGTTGAGTAAGGAGGTGACGGAGGGGTTTTTAGAGAAATATCCAACGGTTGATATATGTTCAGGATACGCGTTGACGGAATCGAACGGTGGTGGAGCTTCAGTTGAGTCGGTGGAGGAGAGCCGGAGATACGGTTCGGTGGGGTTGTTGTCGTCTGGTGTGGAAGCGAGGATTGTGGATCAGGATACGGGTCGGGTCATGGGTGTCAACCAAACGGGCGAGCTCTGGCTTAAAAGCCCATCTATTGCCAAAGGTAAACATTCGCTATATTGACTATAAATTTGATTAAGGGTGAGATGTTTCAAAAGATTTATTACGATCAACTAAAACAAAAAATGATGAAGCACCCACAAGTAGGAACAATATAGGAAAATATTGTCAGAATATTGTATCTATCTTGTAGAACAAACAATATACGAAAATATTTTGAAAGTAGCTTATAAATTTTGTTTGGATAATAAGGTTACTTTAGAAACGAAGAAGCTACAAAAGAAACGTTTAACGTGGAAGGATGGCTAAAAACCGGAGATCTCTGCTATATCGATGACAATGGATTTCTTTTTGTTGTGGATCGATTAAAAGAGCTAATAAAATACAAAGGCTATCAGGTTTATTACCTTTCCTCGTTATGGATTTAATGGTGTAAATTAAGATTCTGTAATTACACAGTTTGGATTTGACAAAACAGGTGGCTCCAGCTGAACTAGAAGCTCTCCTAATTACTCATCCAGACATTCTCGACGCCGCCGTAATTCCGTAAGCTCTTACAATTACTTTCTTTTCCACTAATTAAAGAGGTCATCATCATCAATTGTTAAAGACGTCTTTGACATGCTTTTTATTTCCTTTTCCGTTTTTGTGTATCTAAAAAGGTTTCCTGATAAAGAAGCAGGACAATATCCGATGGCTTATGTAGCACGAAAACGTGAGAGCAAACTCTCTGAGAAACAAGTTATTGACTTCATCTCTAAACAGGTGATTCTACTATAATCACAAAAAAAGCACCATTTCCTTTATCTTGTTTGTATATTGCTATCCGTTAGTTAGTTTTGGGAGGTAAACAGCAAGATTAATGTTATATTTAGTAATTTGATGAGCAGGTGGCGCCGTATAAGAAAATAAGAAAGGTCGCTTTTATAAACTCGATACCAAAGACTGCATCCGGCAAGACACTTCGTAAAGACCTAATCAAACTGGCCACTTCTAAACTCTGAAAGCATCTATCTGCTAGATTCTCACTTTTACTGAATAAAAGAGAAACTGTAATAATTAATGTTACTCTTTGAAATTCCTCCAAGATCTTGTACATCCAGAATTATGCAACATATCAAGCCAAGAACATCTGCTTGTACTACTACTCCAACTTTATGTATAATTGTAGAACTACAAACTTTTATAGTAGATTAGCTAGGAGGAAGAAAAATAGCTACACTTCAGCCTTCTGTATATTTTATAACTCGGAACATGTCAAGTTGTACTAAAGCTTATCAATAAAAGTATTTAAATTTCCCACCCAAAAATAAAATATGTGTATCTACTATACACTATACTTTCATCATTGACTTCTATTAATCATTGGTTCCGCTAAATAAATATATATGACCTCTTTCATCTCTGTTTCCTACATTCGCCTAAAGAAAATGGCGGATCCTCCTCACACATCGGTCACCGATCCAAGAAGCGGTTACTGCAAAGCAGACTCTACATTCTATAGCAAACGCAACCCCTTGAGCCTCCCGGCGAATCCTTCTCTTGACGTCACAACTTTCATCTCCTCTCAGCCGCACCGGGGCACTACCGCCTTCATCGACGTCACCACTGGCCAACGCATAAGCTTCTCTGATCTCTGGAGAGCCGTCGATCGTGTCGCCGATTGTCTCCACCATGAAATCGGATTACGGAGAGGCGACGTCGTCCTCATCCTCTCTCCAAACTCCATCTACATTCCCGTCGTCTGCCTCTCCGTCATGTCTCTCGGCGCCGTCGTCACCACCGCAAACACTCTCAACACGGCCGGTGAGATCGCCACACAGATCGCTGATAGCAACCCAACGCTCGTCTTCACGACGCTCCAGCTGGGACCCAAACTCTCCCGTTCCGGTATCTCCGTCGTCCTCACAGACGACGACGATGAACGCGTGGGATCCACTCGTGGAGTTAAAGTCGTTGGGGTTTTGACTGAGATGATGAAGAAAGAACCGAGTGGGCGGCGAGTCAGGGACCGAGTCAACCAGGACGACACGGCGACGATGCTTTACTCGTCGGGAACCACAGGACCGAGCAAAGGAGTGATCTCATCTCACGGGAACCTAACCGCTTACGTGGCGAGAATGGTCTCTGAGAAATCGATGCAAGGCGAGATTTTCATTTGCACCGTTCCGATGTTCCACATCTTCGGATTGTTGACATTCGCTATGGCCACCGTAGCACTGGGCTCGACGGTGGTGATCCTCCGGAGATTCGAACTCAACGACATGATGGCGGCGGTGGAGAAGCACAGAGCCACGATTCTGGCTTTGGCGCCGCCGGTTTTGGTGGCTATGGTTAACGGAGCGGATCTGATCAAGGCCAAGTACGATCTGAGCTCCCTGAAAACGGTGAGGTGTGGTGGAGCGCCGCTGAGCAAGGAGGCAACGGAAGGGTTTTTAGAGAAATATCCGACGGTTGATATACTTCAGGCGTATGCGTTGACGGAATCAAACGGTGCAGGGGCTTTCACGGATACAGTGGAGGATAGCCGGAGATATGGCACGTCTGGGACGTTGACGTGTGATGTTAAGGCGAGGATTGTGGATCCGAATACAGGTCGGGTCATTGGAGTTAACCAAACGGGCGAGCTCTGGCTCAAGGGTCCTTCTATTACAAAAGGTAGAAAACATTCGCCACATACTACGTTACGTAAATGGTTTTTGAAAACTATGTATATTTTTTTGAAATAAATTGTGTTTAAATGTTTATAAGGTTATTTTAGAAACGAAGAAGCTACAAAAGAAACCATTACTAAAGAAGGATGGCTAAAAACCGGAGATCTCTGTTATATAGATGCAGACGGGTTTGTATTTGTTGTGGATCGATTGAAAGAACTAATCAAATACAAAGGCTACCAGGTTTAAGATCATTTTTTTGTTTTGTTACAGATCAAATGGTGTAAAATTTAAAAGTTAAGATCTCTAACGGTTTGGAATTGATAAACAGGTGCCTCCAGCTGAACTAGAGGCTCTTCTGATTACTCATCCAGACATTCTCGATGCAGCTGTTATTCCGTAAAACTCTTGTACACTCATTCTGTTTTCTACTTAAAACGTCATGAATTTTAACTTTTAACTCATCAAACAACATGAAGCTTTTCACTGTTTGTTTTTTTTCGTTTTGCAAAGGTTTCCAGATAAAGAAGCAGGAGAATATCCGATGGCTTATGTGACACGAAAGCCTGAGAGCAATCTCTCTGAGAAACAAGTTATTGACTTCATCTCTAAACAGGTAATTCTGAAGTCGCACAATAACACCAATAACGTTTTTTTTGACGCAAGTTACTTATGGGAGGTAAATATTACTCTAACAATCATTAATTTAAATTTTATGAACAGGTGGCACCTTACAAGAAAATAAGAAAAGTCGCATTTATAAACTCCATACCAAAGACTGCATCCGGCAAAACACTTCGCAGAGATCTCATCAAACTAGCGACTTCTAAACTTTGAAAGGATCTATGTGCTTAATTTTCACTATTACTGAAAACTATTGTTTTTCAATAAGAGGGTAGCTGTAATAATGTGACACAACATATCCTTGTATATGGTATGTATTTAAAAATTTTAAAGATAAAAAGATGATGCAACAAAACCTCAACCACCTAACCTTTTTAGTTTTTAGGTTTAGCCATTTAATTTGAGCACATTTTGCAACTCGTAACGATTAAGGATATATTGTGGCACATTGGATTTCTACGGGATCATCCAGCTTAGTTTTGAGGTTCTGAAAACAAAGTAAATTTATACTCATATTTTGCTCAATCTTGTCAAATTGTCAAGGTCCAGTTTGGAACTGTGATACATGATCCTTTCATTTGTACCACACACTTGCTTAAATCTGATTAAACAAAAGACTCTAACTAATCATTAGCATAAGCATTTAGCAATTAAAAGAATAAATCAACACACAGGATTCGTTTTAGAAAATAATTTAGTTGGTATGTGTTATGTGACTTATGACCTTACCAAATAAATAAACAGACAATTTTGTTGTGCAATACTGCAACTAGACTCAAAACGAAATGGGTCAAATTAAATGGGTCAAAGATTCAAGGGTCAAACCAGTATATATGGTAGTGGGCTTTTACGAATACAAAGTCCCACGTCATCAAACTCTTCAAATTTTCTATTCTCCAACGACCAATCACTGTACCAAACTCCAACGACCAATCACTGAGAAGCATTCGATACAACCAAGGTCCCTTGACATGGCGCTTAAACACGGCGGCGACGATATCGGGTCCGTAACTCTTGCGCTAGACCGGAAAAGCGGTTTCTGTGAATCAACATCGACTTTCCACAGCAAGCGTGAGCCCATGTCTCTCCCGCCAAACCAATCTCTCGACGTCACAACCTTCATTTCATCGCAGCCTCATCGCGGTAAGACCGCATTCGTCGACGCCGTCACCGGTCGTCGTCTGAGCTTCTCTGCGTTCTGGCTAGCTGTCGAGAGAGTCACGACTTATCTTCACGCATTAGGTGTGCGCAAGGGTAATGTCGTCATTATCCTCTCTCCCAACTCCATCCTCTTCCCGATCGTCTCCCTCTCCGTTATGTCACTCGGCGCCATCATTACAACCGCCAATCCGATTAACACTTCCGGCGAAATCGCCAAGCAGATCGACGATTCCCGCCCCGTTCTCGGCTTCATCACCGGCCAACTCGTCTCCAAACTCGCCGCCGCGTCGTATTCGAATCTCCCGGTGGTTCTCATGGACGAAAACCGCGTATCTCCCAATAAATCACAAAATCACGAAAATCGCGAGAATATCATCGGGAGTTTAGAGGCGATGATGGAGACGGAACCGAGTGGGTCACGAGTGAAGCACCGAGTCGACCAGGACGACACGGCGGCTCTGCTTTACTCATCAGGCACGACGGGGACGAGCAAGGGGGTAATGGTGACCCACCGAAACCTAATCGCATTGGTACAAGCATACCGGGCCCGGTTCGAATCAGAGCAGCGAACCGTCTGCACAATCCCAATGTGCCACATATTCGGATTCGGAGCTTTCGCGACGGGCTTCATCGCGTTAGGATGGACGATCGTGGTGCTTCCCAGATTCGAGATGTCTCAGCTTCTCTCCGCCGTGGAGATCCACCGATCTTCGTACCTCTCCCTTGTCCCGCCGATGGTTGTAGCCATGGTTAACGGATGGAACGAGATCAAATCGAAATACGACCTGAGCTCGCTGCACACCGTCGTGGCTGGAGGAGCTCCTCTGAGCAGAGAGGTGACGGAGAAGTTCGTCGAGCTATACCCGACGGTTAAAATTCTTCAAGGGTATGGTATGACTGAGACAACGGCCATTGCTGCTTCTATGTTTACTAAAGAGGAGACGGAGAGGTACGGAGCGTCTGGATTGCTGGCTCCGAACGTGGAGGCGAAGATTGTGGATCCGGATTCGGGTCGGGTCTTGGGCGTGAACCAAACCGGGGAGATCTGGCTCCGAAGTCCCACTGTGATGAAAGGTTATTTCAAGAACGAAGAAGCTACTGCCTCTAGTATTGATTCGGAAGGATGGTTGAAAACAGGAGATTTGTGTTACATTGACAGTGAAGGGTTTGTCTTTGTTGTTGATAGATTAAAAGAGCTGATAAAATGCAATGGTTATCAGGTAAAGAAGTGCATATAATCATATACTATAAAGTTTGTGGTTTCATTTGGTAAAATGGTTAAAAATGTTTTGTTAGGTTGCTCCAGCTGAACTTGAGGCAGTGTTGCTTGCTCATCCAGAGATTGCTGATGCTGCAGTAGTACCGTTAAGTCCTCTGCTTTTAACATGACCCCATCACCAAATTCTTCTTTTTTAGTGATCCCTTTTTGCTGAAGCTTTTTATGTTGCTTTCTTATGTTTTTTTTTGAAGCATCCCTGACGTGAAAGCTGGGCAATATCCAATGGCGTATATCGTAAGAAAAGCTGGAAGTAACTTATCCGAAACTGAAATCATGGGATTCGTTGCAAAACAGGTCTTTTCAACATTGCAGACCATGTTTTGTCACTAATCTAAATTTGTTTCCTTTGGATTTAACCTGAGTTTTGTTTGGAATGCATAGGTATCACCGTACAAGAGGATTCGCAAAGTCACATTTTTGGCTTCGATCCCTAAAAATTCCTCTGGCAAGATCTTAAGAAGAGAACTTATAAAGCTCACAACCTCAAAACTCTAGCAGGAAGCTGTAACACCATCCTTAGCTCACACTTCAAGGTTAGTTAATTCGTTTGTTTGGTTAAACGATTCAAAACTGAATAATGGTATACAAAATGAAGGCTTATATAGAATCTCTGTTTCTCTGTATATATACAAACAGAAAAGACTCTTGTTTTGTAAAAGCGCTTTCCACAACGCTATAAACTGTTAAAAAACTAGAGACTGAAGCTTGGTCTGATCATGAGCTGCGTTGCAACGAAAGAGAGGGAAGAAATATGAAACCGGTGAAGCTCCTTTGCACGTCATGCTCATGGAGGACACATCCTGATTCTTCTTCTGCTTCACATCATCAACCTCATCATCTTCATCATCATCACCATCACCATGGCCAGACCTCTTTCTCAACAGCATGAGGATGTGATCCATCAAACCTCCATCGCAAGGAACCTGTAAAGGGCCACAAATGGTGGAACCAAACTCTTCCTCCGCCATCTCCAGTAACACCTGAAAGATTGGGTGTTTCAGATAATCCAACGGCAAAACGAACCTCCTGCCTTCTCTGGTGTACACAGCGAAGTGTCCTTTCTTCCACTTCCTCCACTTCTCCACCAAATCGGCGAGGCTAAGACTCTTACAAGATGCTCTCTTCATATCTCTTTTGACTCTGATCTGATCTCTCTGTTACGAAATATAATACCGTTGTGTATACTGTTAGTCTGTTACTGTCTGAAACTATACCGTTCTCTCTCTCCATCTATATATACTACAAAATGTGTGATTAGTGTTTGTGGTTGTTGTTGTTATGCGGCCCAAAAGAAGGATTAAGAATGTGTGGAGGGAGTAAAGTAGCCGTGAGATTTTGTTATTTATTTGGGTTAATAATATTTTCACGAGATTTTACAAGATCGAAATGTATTTGTTGTGAGATGAAAATATGCTTTGGTTTCATTAACGTCGGAGATGAAAGTATGTATGTCTAGGCATATAAACAATAAATTTATTGGATAAAAAAGAAAGAAAGATATAACGGTAAATTTTATAAAGAAAGATCAAGAAAAAGACCAAAAAACAAATTATGAAGACAGATGAAACAAAAGATATTTACATTAAGTATACGAAAAGTATAAGTTTTTAAAAATAATATTATATGGATTTAGGATTTTGTCTAAGTTAGATAATCTACTGTATCATTGTAAGAGAAATTAGACTGAATTATTGATTTTTTTTTTTTTTGTTCAAAAGACTGAATTATTGATTTAATTGCGAGTGAAACTACACTTACACAGAATTTAGACCACATAGTATAAGTTTGTGAGAAGGTAAATGGAGATGTGGTGGTGACAATAGAGCATGTGAGATGTGACGGGGCGTTAGAGCAAATTGCTATTGCTTTTGTTCTCTTAGTTACATTCACGTCCTCAACTTCTCTATTTTGCACTTTCTTGTGTATCTATCTCCCTTGTTTTAATTTCTTCTTGTCTTTTTCTCAAGTCACATGAAATCCTACAAAACCCTCACTTTTCAACTATGAAGTCCCCAGTCATACACCGTTATAATTTCTATTTGGTGCGTCTAAATCTCTGTGGGCCTGTGGCTATTTCTTAGATGTGAATTCTGAACCGAAAATCAAACCGAAATTTTCATTAGAAAAACCGATTCAGTTGGATTGAATCTTGAGAAGAACCAGACGAACTCCAAACTTTCAAAGTAAACGCAAAGAACAAAACTGCCCACTAGAAATAATGCAAGCTTTGTTATTATTTTTCTCATTTTACCGTCTGAATTTCACAACCACAATTACACATGAAAACGTAACTCTTTCGAACACATTCTTTTCTCTGAACAAAACCATATTTTGACAGACTCTAAAACCCCTAAAACCCTAAGATTTGCCCGGCTCAGCCACCCTGACCTGACTCAAAAACCTTTAGAGCCCGTGCTGTGAGCATAACTGTCATCTTCATCCATTAAGTGCGCAATTGGATCATCAGGAGGTGAGTTTCGTGGCTAAGTAGTTTGCAACTTCTCTCATCATAAGGTTTGGTCTTTCTTTACATAGATAGTGGAAGAAGCATCCTTCGCTTCTTCTTCCTGGCTAATCTCACTTGCTTCGTCACCTTCATGCAAACGAGTAGTAGTAAAGTGACGCACACCAAGATGAACGCGAGCTGCAACCGCTGGAAGTACAAGGAAACCGCTGAAAACACTAAGAATGCTAAGATGACTAGCTCCCAGATGACAAAGACTACAACATCCACCCTGTATATCAAAACCCAAATAGCAGCTTATTAGTGATGAAGATGTGTGCATGTTAAGTGAACCTTAGTAAGTAAAACTCAAAAACAGCATAGGACTCAATCACGATCGTAAGAGATAACAAGGAAGAGAATTTCAACATCATAAAAATCAGACTGAATCTTGAAATAGAAAGTGGTCTAATTTTAAGAGCTTGATGCAAGTGATCTTCTGAAAGAAAAACCGTCCGACTTATATTCTTTGATAGGCAAGAAAATGGCACGAATTGGTTAGAGGAACCAAGAAACATATGGTAGCATTACTTTCGCATATCTATCTACAAGCACACAGTGATCAGCATCATGAAACTAGAATCACTAGAGCATACTATCAAACATAATCATGTCAGCAATCAAGAAAACAGCATGTCGATTGCAGTAGATTCATATTTTCCAATAGTGGTGAGGCTGAATACTCTAGTAAACACTCTAGACTCGAAGACTATATTGCAAAAACTAACTTCATTTGCCTGAAATGATAATGTATAATACGGCCTTATCAAGGTCCAAAGATGGTAGACTTAACATAGTGATTTTGCTGAATTGGGTAATACTGTTTATCTGGATATCTGGATAGGTGTCTAATGATCTGAGCAGAAACTACGACTAAGACTCAACGAGTTTCAGCATCAAATTCAGATCTTCCAAAAATGTAAAATTCACGGAACCCCGAATCCAATTCTCTAAACATTACGCAGATAGAGCTAATATCACAAGTATATGGGAACTTCGGGACTACAGATACGGTAACTTGTAAACCCAAAATGCACAGATCTCGAATCTTAAAAAGCGATAATCCTCACCTAGACGAAGAAAAACTCGAGGTCGACGAGAAGAAAGAGACGGATGCCCAATCGTGCTTCGATCGAATCTGGTATTCTCTCAGCTGCTCTGCTAGATTCGATCTTGTTATCATCGCTTCCTATGCAGCGTTTCTCCCACCTAAATCCTTCTCTTCTCAGTCGACTGATAGGCAGAGAATCGTCGGAGAAAAACACGAAATTCGAGGATAAACTCTGCGGATAAGATTTGAAATCGGCGAATCCAACAACGGGAAAATAGACTCCGGAGATTCAAAATTTTAGAGTCAAAAAATTTCAGAGACGAAAAAATGTTTCGATTCGTCTAAAGTTCGTTAGCGTAGACTCTCCTCCTCCTCTCTCTCGGTGTCAGAATCCCGGGTCGGGTTATACCTTTTTGGATCAATACCAGATTTGACCCGACTCGAGTTTCGCGGCCCATGTAAGGGTAATGATGTATTAAAACATAGATTGGGCCTTTCAAGATCATCAAACTAGGAGACAAAAAAAATACTATAGAAACTTGAGTTTCGTAAATGGGAAAGCTGCCGTTACGTGTACGTAAGTAAATGGAGTTGGATCATTTGTGTTCTTAATCCATAGACATGTTTTATATTTGGGTACAATTGTCTCTTTATGCTCAAAAGAGAAACTCAAATGGAAAATTGTGTGCGATGTTGTATACCGTCCAAATTGTTAGAGAGGGGATTATATACATCCCCACAAAAGCCTTTTAACAGATTGATCCGGTCCTGTTAATACAAAGTTCATAAAAAGGAATATATGCGAAGATAATAAGAAAAAAATATAAAGATAAAAAGAAGTTTTCCTGATGCAAAAAGGAAAAATAGGTTAATGGTACCTTACCTATTCTCCATATATAAATTGAAGATTCTCACAATTTTGAAGAACATACTCAAATATCTCTCATAGCTATAGCAAAAATTTGCATTCTTAAGCTTTCTAGTTTTCTTTCTTTCTTAGCATCTTCTCGATTTGCAATCTCGCTAGAGGAATGAATCTCAACACCGAAGCAAACGGGATCAATGCAAGTGGTGACCGAACTATTGGAGCATCTGATCCCGAACTCGAATTCAGCAGGAAGCGACAAAAAATCGCCCACCTCGAGTCTCGAGTGCAACACATGACCAGACCAGCACTCGATATTGAAATTGAGAAATTTGTCGCCGACACAAGTAAACATCCGTTTACTCCTCGCATCGCCGATGTCCGCTTACGTGCACGAGTCGAAATGAATCTACATGAGTTTGCCGGATACGGAAATCCAAAGCAGTGGCTCATTCTCTTCCACGAGTTGATGCGAAGAGAGCAATTCGATTCGCTCGAAGAAAAAGATGCCCATTACTGTCAAGCCTTCGTCCAACACCTCAGCAAAGGTGCGCTCAAATGGTATTATAACCTCCCAGTCGGATCCATCAACAGCTACAATGAGCTTTTAGTCGCTTTTGTAAAGCACTATTCAATATTCATGGTCTAAAGCACTTTGCCAAACTAAAAGATATGATGATTCAAGAATTTCACCCGCATATGTGCTGCTAAGTTCAGATCGACTTAGATATTTTTCACCGGAGTATTTGGTTTTAAGTATTTTATTTTAATCTGAGGTTTACAGGTTACGATAAACATTTCTTTGCAATAAATAGTAACTTTCTTTTTTCTTTTAATAATTTAATCATTTTTATAGTAAGGAGGAATTTGTGAGAAATTGGTTTGCTGGATCTATGTAGATGTTTCCATGTTAGTGAACCTTAGTAAGTAAAACTCAAAAAGCATAGGACCTCAATCATGATTGTAAGAGATAACAACGAAGAGGACTGTATCTTGAAATAGAAATGAGAATCTATCTAACTACAATGTGATCTACTTCTAAAAGCTTGATGCAGCGAATCACATCTGTCTCATATTAATTAGAGGAACCAAGAAACATGTCACATATGGATGTATTACTTTCGCAAATTTATCTATCTTGAGATTCTATAGAAACTTGAGTTTCGTAAATGGGATCACATTGGGAAAGCTGCCGTTACGTGTACGTAAGTAAATGGAGTTTGATCATTTGTGTTTTTAATCCATAGAATTGTTTTATATTTGGGGTACAAAAACATACCGTCCAAATTGTTAGAGAGGGGATTATATACATTCCCACAAAAAGCCTTTTTTAACAGATTGATCCGGTCCTGTTAATACAAAGTTCATAAAGTCGACCTCCTCAAATTAAAGGAATATATTCCAAGATAAAGGCAAATCTCTGAAAATAAGAAAAAAAAAAATATAAAGATAAAAAGAAGTTTTCCTAGCTAATGTAAAAAGGAAAAATAGGTTAATGGAATTTATCTATCCTCCATATAAATCGAAGGTTCTAACAATTTTGAAGAGCATACTCAAATCTCTCATAGCCAAAGAGCAAAGATTTGCGTTCTTTTCTTTTTTTTTCTTAGCATCATCTCGATTTGAAAGCTGCCGTTACGTGTACGCAAGTAAATGGAGTTAGATCATTTGTGTTTTTAATCCATAGAATTGTTTTATCTTTGGGGTACAATTGTCTCTTTATACTCAAAAGAGAAATTCAAAAGGATAATTGTGTGCGATGTTGTATACTAGTTTAATAAAAAAACATACCGTCCAAATTGTTAGAGAGGCCACAAAAGCCTTTTAACAGATTGATCCGGTTCTGTTATTACAAAGTTCATAAATTCACCTCCTCAAATAAAAGGAATATATTCCAAGATAAAGGCAAATATCCGAAAATAAGAAAAAATATAAAGATAAAAAGAAGTTTTCCTAATGTAAAAAGGAAAAACAGGTTAATGGAATTATCTATCCTACATATAAATAGAATGTTCTCACAATTTTGAAGAGCCATACTGCATACATCTCTCATAGCTAAAGAGCAAAGATTTGCATTCTTTTTTTTTTCTTAGATAGCATCATCTCGATTTACAATCTCGTTAGAGCAATGACTTCAAACAACGATGCAAACGGGATCAATGCAAGTGGCCAGATTAACGAAGCCCTTGCCAATAAAATGAACCCCGTACTCATCAGGATACAACAAAACCTCGACAACATCGGGTCTATGTTGCATCACATGACTTCATCAATGTCTATATTAGATGACATGTCTTCTATGTTGCGTGACATTACTTCATCAATCCAAATTGCCAAAATTACCGCCGATACAGAAAACTTGTCCCTTGACTCCTCGCATGAACGCTGTCCTCCTACGCCAACGAGTCGGAGTGAATCTACATGACTTTGCCGGAAACGATGATCCAAAGCATTGGCTCACTCTCTCTTCATCTCTCTATTTGGTTCTAAGTATTTTATTTTAATCTGAGGTTTACGTTTTACAATTAAACATCATAGTGCACGAAACTATTTCCTTGCAATCAATAGTAATATTTTTTCTTTTAATAATTTAATGATGTGTATACCAAGTTAGCAACGAAAACGATTGCTTTTGTTTGGTTTGTGTCGGTACAGTGACCACCCCAATGCCTAAATATACAAAATTCGGTAACGTTACGGGTCGCGTGTTCGAGAAACGTCTCAATTTATTATGTGGCACGTCGACTTGAATCTTTCAACCGAACACGATTCATGATATTAATAATTTTAAAGAAATATCCTAAATGAATGATGCGTTCTCAATGCCCCCATCTGTTCAATTTTGTTTAGATTTATTATGATAAAGTTTTCGTCCGCAATGGATAACCAGAGCAGCTGAAAACGACACCGCAAACATATAAATTTAATACTTTTAACTATTTCAAATTTTTTTTGTTCGTCTTTAATAAATTTACTTCACAATTCACAACCTTCATGCAATATTTTTTTCTTTTAACTTACCATAACAGGTAATTTATTGAAGGAGTAATGTCAATTGTCATGTTGGTAAATAGTAAATAGTAAATTTTCCGAAAATATCTGCCAACCTGGCTTCAGCCGACGTGGCTTACGATGTTCAATGGGCCCACGTGACCGACATCACGCAATCAGCCTATCAAAACCGACCATTAAGGTCCATGTGTGGGTCCTTTTAACGTTCTTACGACACGTGTATTTCATTTATTGGGTGAATTCATGCCTTTCTATATCATTTTTGTTGTTTTTCTACGTCAATCTAATGTTCCCATTTTTTATTTTTTTTTGTTCAACAATGTTCCCATTAGTCTTCGCATTTACTTACTGACCGTTAGTTTCTTTCTCATCGATTATTTATTGCCACGCGTCCTGATGCTTATGGACCTGTTAATAGTTGGTTAATGATCAGTTTTAGAGGGTATTGCAATTTTACCCCGTTAGTTTTATTCCTTACAGAGATAACCCTGAAAAGCTTCAATATTGTTGAAAAACAGCCTTTGAAGTTAGAAGTATCACGTTTCTCTGTAGATACAAAACTCCTAAGTGCCTAGTTTAATGGATATATCGAAACTCTCATTTTGTTTCCCATACTTCTCTATAAAAATCTATACTACTGTATATGATAAAAAGCCAAAATGTTTCTATACAATCATTCAAGAAGAAGAGATTATGTTTTGTTTGTTAATTGAAGAGTTCCATTCAAAACTATTTAGCTATACCTCTTATTTATTTAAGTTAACAATGTCAATATTCAATCTAAAAATAAATTAAAAGGATATGTACTTGGATCACGTAACCAAACTTCGATACAGCTCCCCCTAAGTAAAAAGTGCATGACTATGCGATATTTAATATTTGTTAAACTCTTCATCTATATTAAAAAAGAAACATTAGGTGGTTTCATAATTCTCATCCACACACCGACTTAAAGAAAAGGGGTCATTCTGCAATTTTAGCAAAATAAATATCCATCGTTCGCTTTATTACAAAAATAATTAAAATCTTTACAGCGTGACCTCCGCGTTGGCCTAGACCTTCCTCACACTATAAAACCCACTCTCGTCTCTCATCACAATACTCATCACAGCTTTTCAACATCATCTTAAAAGCAACTAAATCTCAAAACAAATTCGAAATCTCTCATATTTTCTGTTTATCATTCTCATTTTAGCTGTTAAGAAGTAACTAATGGCGGAAGAGTACAAGAACGCTTCAGAGGACTTCAAGAACGTTCCCGAGCACGAGACCCCGAAGATCGCAACCCCAGTGGAACCATCGGAGCCGGCGGTAGAGGTTAAGGAGCGAGGAATGTTCGATTTCTTGAAGAAGAAGGAGGAAGTGAAACCTCAAGAGACGACGACGACGACCACGACAACTCCGCTAGAGTCGGAGTTCGCGCACAAGGCTCAGATCTCTGAACCGGCGCCGTTTGTGGCGAAACACGAAGTAGAGGCAGAGAAGGAGCACAAGCCTACTCTCCTCGAGAAGCTTCACCAGAAGCACGAGGACGAAGAAGAGAACAAGCCTAATCTCCTCGAGAAGCTTCACCGATCCAACAGCTCCTCTTCCTCTGTAAGTAAATCCGTTTTGATTTGGTTTTATCTTGACCGTTGATTTGACTTTAGCTAATAATCAAACGCTTGGAATTTGAATATATAACAGTCAAGCGAGGAAGAAGGTGAAGACGGTGAGAAGAGGAAGAAGAACAAGGTGAAGAAGGACAAGATCATTGCAGAAGATAAAAAAACAGAGGAAAAGATGCAGGAGGATAGGAAAGGATTGATGGAGCAGATCAAGGAGAAGTTTCCACACGGATCACAAAAAGAGGCTGGAGAAGTAGTTGTCACCACCGCGCCGGAGGTGACTGCAGAGCCAGAGCTGGAGCATCCGGCGGAGAAGAAAGGAGTAGTGGAGAAGATCAAGGAGAAGCTTCCAGGCCACAGCAAGAAACCAGAGGATTCTCCGGTCGTCAACACGACGGCTGCAGTACCGGTGCCGGAGGAGGAGACGACGGAGAAGAAAGGGTTCCTTGAAAAGATCAAGGAGAAGCTTCCAGGCCATCACGCCAAGAGCACTACGGAGGAGGAAAAGAAGTCTGATTACTAAGAAAGTTGAAAGATGAAAAGAATATAATGATGTGTGAGTGGGGACATTGTTGTGTTTTGGTTATGATCATCTTTTATTTTTCTTTCTCTTTTAAGCTGTTCTGTAACTTTGTGTCTTTCATTTGATTGTATTTGCACCTTTGATGTTGTAATTTCATTTTCAATTTTATAAAGTTTGCGTATGTTTTTAAGTACGAGTTAATGTGTGTGTAGATTTTCATTTGGTATCACATAAAACACCTCGTATTTGCAAAAGCTTTAAATGATGATGACATGTATAAGAAAAAAAGAATGGGAGAAAGTCTTGAACCATTATTAGCATACTACGAATGTTCAACTATCACAAGTGGGTTCTTAAGATTTTGGACACATAAACCCCACAAAAAAAGTCTCCAATAAATATTTTCCTAGATGAATCATTGTCAAAGCTGATAAGGAACAAAGAGTGATATAACAAGTTTATGCATTTTTTTCATTATTATGTGATTATCCACTATGAATTTCTCATTCCTGTATTTTCTTTTCAGCTGTTTGTTTTTGTGGTCAACAATCAATCGAAAGAAGTTAATGATCTTTTGCAACCAAAATAAAAAGTTAATCAAATCGGGGGTGTAGCTCATATGGTAGAGCGCTCGCTTCGCATGCGAGAGGCACGGGGTTCGATTCCCCGCACCTCCAATTGTTGTTGTATTTCCACTTTTCAAAAAAAGAATAAGTTATTTTGTGATTAATGGAGAGTGATACTACTACATTCTTGCATACCATGTGTTGCGTGACATTTTTACAATGAGTGTTTTTTGTTTGTTACTACAGTAGAAACTCTATAAATTAATACTCGATAAATTAATAAACACGATAAATTAATAAATTTCTCCGGTTCCGAGTTGGGCCGGTGTAAAATATGACACAATTCGATAAGATAATAAGATAATAACTTTTTTTAAACTCCTATGTAAAATATGGTCCCAAAATATCATAAATTAATAATTATCATATATATATATATCTAAGATATCTAACTACTAAAATATGAATCTTTGACACACCAAACCTATATGGAAACTAAAAGAAGAAAGAAATTTATAATAGTATGGCAAGTATGAGAAAATGTAAACAATAAATAAAAATATAGAAACATAAAAAATAAAAGTTAAGAAAATATACATACAAAGGAAAGTTTTTATTTAATTTGAAGGAAAATTTAAAAGATTATTGATATTGAATTTTCTATGTTTGAATTTTTTTTTAGTCAAAATCTATATATTAATAACTCTATAAATTAATAAATTATCAAAGTCCCGACATTATTAATTTATAGAGTTTCTACTGTGCCGTGCCAAGGATTTCGGATGCCATAAGCCAAAAAAAATTGTTCCAGTATATATATTTGATATTTGGGGACTTTTCGGATGTCATAAGCAAAAAACAAAAATTTACACTATAATAAAACCAGATAGTTTATAAATCTAGAAAAAAGTCTTAAAACGTTGTGGTTAGTTTAAACTTTGGATATAAAAACTTAAGTAAAGAAGCAAAGTGAAACACTGAAACTATAAAATATGCCTCATGAACATATATTTTAACAAAAAATGCCTCATGAACATATATGAAACTATAAAATATGTCTTTCATACTATTTCTATAATTAAGGGCCGTAGGCCAAAGTTTCTTTTTTTGTTCATTAGGCACGGCTCTGGTGGTGGATAGAGTAATTCTCGATCATAATTTCAGTAGGTATGCATATTGCGTACAACAAAAAATACTTGTGATTGGTAGGAAAACATCGACTATCTTGTGATTGGTAGTATAACTTGTTGGGCTTTAAAAGCCCAAATATTTAGAAAACCCTTTCTCCTATTTCTCTCTCCGACGACGATTAGTCTCAATTCCTCTTTTGTTCGTTTGACACCGAAATGGCTTCGTCTGCGCCACAGGGATCCGTCGATCCTCTCGCCGGGAAAGATCCGGCGAAGGCGTTAACTGCCGTAGCATCTGGATTCTTCGATAATGTGAAGAAGAACAAGCAGAGCTTCTTCCAGTTCGCCGCCATGACTGGAATTCTGCTTCTGAGCTTCCGATCAGTAAGTCAGAAGTACCGAATTCACGATCTGGAGGAAGACACATCCGTTCTCAAGAAGGAGAAAGATAGTTTGACGGATCGCATGAGTAAAATCAAGAGCGACCTTCTGCATCAAGCGTCGATTGACTCTACCGGCGCCTTTGCTTCTCGACTCCGCTTACTTTTCGGCGACGAGAATAAGTGATCGGAGCTTTGATTGATTTAAGTGAAAAAGGTTACGATTTTGCCCTTTCGTCCGATGTTATTGTTGTTCTAAACAGATGTCTCATGCCTGTAATTGCATGAATTTTTCTCCATTTTCTCTTAGATTAAAAGGTTTTAGCGAATGAATGAGTAGTGATTCAGACATTAGTGTATCGGTTTGATTTTATCGGAAGCTCTGCTTCGTGAAATAAATTACTTTTGTTATAGCTGAATCGGTTTTATATAGGATTGAACAAGCAAATGTAACTTCCTTTCTGTGGCATTTCATCGAACACTTGAACTGCATATCAAACTTTGCACCTCAAAAGCTTGAAATTAGATTGGAAGGTGTAACGTGATTGCTCGGTAAATTCGTCTATTTAGAACCGATCGATTCAATTTAGTGAAAAATGGTGTTGGTGGTAAGATTTGGGATTGGTTCTCAATACAAATGGTTTTCACTTTTCAGTCTGATGATTTATCAAATGAATTGTATGGAAGATATTACTCACCATATGGTCTCCTAACTCTTAGATTAATCATTGTTTTGCTCCCCCCACTAATTAAACAAAGGTAATTTGATTCAACAAAATAGGGGAATAATTTATTACCATAATAATCTTGGACTAAACATCATTCTAGTTGGTAAATACACTAAAGAGCAGAGACCAGAAAACCATCGTGAGAGCTATTTCAATACTACCATATTAGTCTTGCTGCTCTGAGTAATTACTAGTTTGCTAAATCAGGTGACTAACCCAAAGTCAGAGTTACAAGAGTCAATCAAATGTGGTTTCCACAACAAATTTTGACCTTATTTATTTTACTTCCACAAATACATTTTCTTTTCTTTGTTGACTTAGATAAATGATAAATCATATTCCACACATATATTAGTCTCATTTTCTCTCCTCTTTGTATCAGTTCAATTATCTCCCCTATCGAATTAAGAACAGTCCTGCTCTTTTCTTCCTCTGAAATCTGAAAACTAAAATGGCAGCCAAAGTCAAATTCTCGGCAGTTTTAATAAACTGTTTATCGCTGCTTATAGCCGTCGTGGCAGAAGATCCGTATAGATTCTTTGAATGGCGCGTAACCTATGGTACTATTTCTCCTATGGGAGTTAAACAACAGGTGCTGCTAATCTCTATACCGTTAAAATCTCAGACGACCTTATATCTCATTCCGTTTATTTTATCGATTATATCTGGTTTCGTTAACCGGATTCTCATTTACCAGGGTATATTGATCAACAACATGTTTCCCGGACCGGAAATTCGCGCTGTAACAAATGATAACCTCATCATTAACGTATTCAACGAACTCGATGAGCCTTTTCTTATTTCATGGTACGTTTTTTTTGTGTGCTAGTATGACATTGTAAATATGTGATAATGTTCAATGTTTGATAAACCCAAACCGATTTTTGTTTTCAATCAGTAAACTGAGTTAAGCATTAATTCGAATAGTTGAAAGCCACAATGGTCATAATTTTTCTATTTCAGCTTCTTTTTGTTTTCTGATAAATTTATGAATGCTTGAATTAACCTGAAACTAACTGGTTAACCATTGCATGCATTTTGCAAATTAAACGGTCTGCATGGTAATTATTTTACAGACAGGGCCCACTTCCTACATGTCATCTCTTATGTTTCTTTCATTTGACTAACGAGAGTGCTTCGTTTTTTAGGGCTGGGATTCAAAATAGAAAGAACTCGTTTCAAGACGGAGTGTACGGAACGACGTGTCCAATCCCGCCGGGGAAGAACTACACTTACGCTCTTCAGATGAAGGACCAGATCGGAAGCTTCTATTACTTCCCCTCGCTCGGATTTCACAAAGCCGCCGGCGGTTTCGGAGCTATACGTGTCTCCAGCCGTCCAAAGATCCCCGTCCCTTTCCCTCCTCCCGCAGACGAATACACTGTTCTCATCGGCGACTGGTACAAAACCAATCACAAGGTAACCAGTTCTCTTCTTTCACATGTTTGAGATCGGAGCAAAGTGTTTATGTTGATGTACCTAAATAGTTATTTTGCTTGCTTGGATTTTTGAAATAATGTTTATGAGTTCTCGGTGTAGGACTTGAGAGTACAACTCGATAATGGAGGAAAGCTTCCTCTCCCAGATAGAGTTCTCATCAATGGCCGCGGTAGCGGTGCTACACTCAACGTTCAACCAGGTTTTAGTTTCCTTGTGTCACACGTTTGTTACTTATAAAGACATTTGTTCGACATTACTGATAAAGCTTTATGATGTGAATTTTGACTTTTTCCCTCTCAGGTAAGACCTACAGACTGAGAATATCCAATGTAGGACTACAAAACTCTCTCAACTTCCGCATCCAAAACCACATGATGAAGTTGGTTGAGGTCGAAGGCACACACACTATTCAGAACGTGCTCTCTTCGCTTGATGTTCACGTTGGTCAATCTTACTCGGTCCTAATAACGGCTAACCAGCCTGCAAAAGATTATTACATTGTGGTCTCTAGTAGGTTTACTCCAAAGGTCCTCACCACCACCGGTGTTCTCCATTACACCAATTCTAATAAACCTGTTTCTGGACCTATTCCTGATGCACCAGCTTCCATGAGCTGGTCTTTTAGCCAGGCTCGAGATATCAGGTATTGTCTTAATTGATTTCCACCAAATTTTGGCATCCTTTAGAATTTAGGCTCCAAAGCAGCTTAATGCAACTGCATTATTTGTGTGTGTCGTAGGACCAATCTTACAGCGAGCGGACCAAGACCAAACCCACAAGGTTCGTACCACTATGGTATGGTAAATGTCACAAGAACCATCAAACTTGCTAACTCTGCTGGAGATATCAATGACAAGCAACGGTACGCCGTGAACAGCGCATCATTTTACCCAGCAGACACCCCTCTTAAACTCGCAGACTACTTCAACATCAGCGGTGTATACAAGCCTGGAAGCATATCTGACCAGCCCACAAATATACCGATCTTCCCTGTCACTTCTGTCTTGCAAGCTGATCACAGAGCCTTTGTTGAGATTGTTTTCGAAAACAAGGAAGATACTGTCCAGAGCTGGCACTTTGACGGTTACTCTTTCTTCGTTGTTGGGTAAGTATTACGTTTCAAATTTATTCTCTCATCCCCCTCCTTAGTGGTAGCATCTCTTATCAAGATTCAAGAAATTTAAAACAAAAATTTATGAACATTTGTTGATCATTTTTAACCAACTACAACCAGAATGGAACTTGGGGAATGGAGTCCTGCGAGTAGGAAAGTCTACAATCTAAACGATGCAGTTTCACGCTGCACTGTTCAGGTGAGACTAGTCTAGATATTTTCATGTTTTGATCTCAAATTGTTATAGCTTTAAAAGATGTGTTTTCGGTTTCTTTTGATGAACATTTACAGGTGTATCCAAGGTCATGGACTGCAATATATGTAGCACTAGACAATGTCGGAATGTGGAACCTGAGATCAGAGTTGTGGGAAAGACAATACTTGGGACAACAGTTATACGTGCGTGTCTACACAACATCGACTTCTCTTAGAGATGAATATCGAATCCCGACGAACGCTCTTCTTTGTGGTAAGGCCAGTGGACACCACCATAAAGGACTGCTATGAAAGTAAGTTTGGTCTTTTTCGGTTGACAATTATACATGTTGATAATATAGTAATGTGGTTTGAGTACTATATTGATATCAATATATATACAGAGATATTCTCTTTATAAACAGCTTTCACTCTCTTTAGACAACAATTTTCAGACTATACATTCACTCAAATCAATTTCATGGTCGTAGCTACCTCATTCGTATAAAAAATTAGAAAAGTAATATGAGAGAGATTATTGCGTTGAAGGATCTAGGAAGTAACATGCATTAAAATAAAAAAATGGAGGGGCGTTCCGAGAATCGAACTCGGGACCTCTCGCACCCAAAGCGAGAATCATACCACTAGACCAAACGCCCTAGATGTTAATAATCTCGCTTATTGTGCGTGTATAATAAATCATCTGACGTTCCTTTGACATTCCGAGCCCTGCAAGGATGTGTTGTAGTGTTGTACATCGCCATGTAGCTCAAAACAATCTGAATTCCATTAACACAAGCTTTCGTGAGGACAATTTTCTGGTGTTCTGCTCTAATATCAGTCCAATTGCTCCGTTCCATCAACCCGAACTAATTTGTTGGTAAAGAAAGTAAACAAAGCATCCATTTTCTCTCCCTCTCTCTCTCTCTCTGCATAAGCAAACCAAACTCAGAAACAGTGATAAGGAAGAAAACTATGGATATTAACCACACAAGTGCATTAATACAAAATGGATATAAACAACACACTGTCATGGATGGTAAAAGTAGTTATTTGCGTAGAAGGAAGTAACAAAAGTTAATTAAAACAAAATAGAGAGGGGCGTTCCGAGAATCGAACTCGGGACCTCTCGCACCCAAAGCGAGAATCATACCACTAGACCAAACGCCCTCACTGCTTTGTATATCCAAAGTTGACTATATAACACAACACAAACGTGACCCACTTCCGACACTGCGAGCCTGTGCAACTTTGGTTTGCTAATTGCTAGACGCCGCCTTCTCCGATTATTCGAAAAAACAATGTCCGACGAATTAAAACCCGCGTCCGGCGACCTGGCCGGTTTGCCCAACGGCCTCGTAAGCCATGGTGACTACAAGACACGGCGCGTCTACGAAGCAGCTCGATCTCTGCATTCCGGTGCTGTGAAGGATCTGCTATCTCTCGGGGTCCGTATTCTCTTCTCTTGCTCTCACTGGTTCTTAGGGCTTCTTCCTTTTGTTACCTCTTCTCCATTCCAATTCAAATCTCTCTGCGAATTCGTTTTTCCCGATTGTTAATTAGTCGTTGTGTCTATGCTCTGATAGGTCTGCGAGAGATGTGTTTTCCGATTGGTAGCCGTCGAGGCTTTTGATTCCGATTTCTCGTCAGTCACGACCTCAACTCTACGGAGCTGGCTAGAAACCTGTGATGATCAAACTGTTTCATCGGAGTCTAGCTGCTCCAGAGTCTGCATTGTTTGTTTAGGTGTATTGCAGTTCGTTTTCTCTGATGCCAAACAAACGCTTGTGAAATCGGATTCTAGTAGTGATTACGCTTCAAGGATAACGGAATTGGTGAATCAGGACGGTCATGAATTCGATAGCTTTGGTCTCGAAGTCTCTGTGCCATCGACTATCACTGATAATGAACGTGCAGTCTTGTAAGCTTCACTAGCATTTTTGCTTTGATTTTGGTTTATGACTGTCTTACACATTGCACCTAGAAAGTATCTGCTCTGATGTTGATGTTTCTACCTTTGTAGGTCATACCTAAAAGCAAAGTATAGCACCGAAGCTTGGCTACAGAGCGAGAAAACTTCTGTGAAGGATGCCTTGAAAGCTTTAGTCTTGGATCCACTTAAAGCATCGTTGGTCAGTTGGTGGATCAGCTTGAATTTGTTTACGTTTTCAACTATTGTTTAGTATCTTATATAACCTGCCAAATCTGTGGGAAGATAAGTAAACCTTAGAGATTAAAGTCTTTGCATTGTCTTCCCTGTTGTTGAGATTTGCAGGGCGCGAAGTCAGATTCAAGCTCTTTTCATATCCGTCTGACTTACTCTAAGGCATCAGGTGAGGCTCAAGGTGCGTCTGAAACAACGCATGAAAGAAAGAAGAGGAAGACAGGTATGTCTAGTCTAGACTCTACAATCACTTAGTACCCTGTTGAGTTTAGTTTTTAATCATTTATAAGACCTGACTGATGGTGCATACATTTTTACTTGAACTCTCACACATATTTATTGTATTTTATGCAGAGGCGGAGAATGAATCAAACTGTATTTCCGAGAATTCACTTGAAAAGGTATTTGTTTGCGTGTTCAACCTATATATTTATATTAGAGTGGAACTTTATATTTGTCCGTGTTGTCATTATTTGGCTTACAAGAACTCATTTTTTTGAACTTTTGAATAATATTACCAGGTCTGTGAACCATGCATCTTGTCAGTTCATTGCAACAAGATGCCTATCTTTTTCAGTGGAAGATACTTTAAAGTAAGTCAATGTTTTCTTGTTTTTAAGGCAGTGTGTTGTAAACTTCATTTGTGAATGGATTCACCAAGGAGATCTTCAAACTCTTGTCACTAATTGAATTGATGGTTCGATATTATCCTTGCAGTACTCCAGAAATGTAAGTCAAACACGTTGGATTATTGATGATGAAAGAATGGGTGAAGCGTCTGTTGAGGTAGTACACTTTGTGGTTATCTGGATATGTATATATTATTCCTTAAGATAACAGGTGACTTGAAAAAGATTTTTCTATACTTTTTCCAGGAGTTAATTGGTGGAAATATTCTTCCAGCATGCCTTGGGGATTCCTACAAGTTCCATGCTGCTGGCAGAGAAGATATTGATGTGATAAAATTTTCCCCTTTTTGGATTTATGTTCATATACAACAAGTTTATACATTGACAATAATATGAGAGAGCTTTATTCAGGTACGGATGTTGGGTTCAGGTAGACCTTTCTTAATCGAGGTTCAGAATTCCCGCCAATGCCCATCTCAGCAATCACTGACGGAAATTGAAGAAAAGATAAACAACTCAGAGAAAAAGCTTGTAAGGCCCTTATCAATTGAGTGCATATGTTCTATCAGTCGATTATCTTTTTTTTTTTTTTCTTTGCAAGCTTACAAGCAGTATTTTGGGCTGCAGGTCGGAGTTAAAGACCTTAGGTTTATCGGAAGTCAGTGTTGGGCAATGATGCGTGAAGGAGAAGCAGAGAAACAGGTCACTTTTGTTAATTCCTGTAGAAATATTGTAACCTTATTTCAGTTAAAACTTGTAAGTTATAAATGTAATGAAAACTAATCGAACCAATGTTTTTTTTTATATATATTGCAGAAGCAATATGCTGCACTTGTATGGATTTCTCGTCCACTTGAAGAGGAAGACTTTAACTCAATATCTTCGTTGAAAGAATTGGTCAGTCATTTTGTTTGCCTCTTTTTTCATTGTTTATTAGAGCGTAAATCGTGGATCTAGATGTCAACAGAGGTAGAATCCATTGTCTGACTGCAAAGTGACTGTCTTCTTTCACTGCAGAAAATCTTGCAGAAAACACCTGTAAGAGTGCTTCACCGACGAAGTCCATTGGAACGTGAAAGGACTATACATTGGTTAGTGATAATCATCTATAGTGATTTTCGGATATTTACTTACCTTAGAGCTTCTTCTGAGTCAGTCTTTTTGGTTTCTAATACTCAGGATGAAAGTCGAAAAGATAAAAGGAAACTCTCACTACTTTCTATTGCATCTGTGCACTCAGGTTTCAACATCTTTTAGCTCACCTCATTATAACTATCACAATTTTAAAAGATGGACACGTTTTAATTTATTCATTGATGCAGGCTGGAACATACATCAAAGAATTTGTTCATGGAGATCTTGGTCGTACCACTCCCAGGTACAATAAAAGAATGAGCTCCCTCCATAGATGAAGTAGCAAAGAGAAGCATTTAACCGAATCTTTGGTTTCCATTTTAACGAAAGAGTTTTATTTCATTTTGGTTGCAGCATGGGATCAATTTTAGGGTGCAGAGCGGAGATAATACAACTAGATGTCACCGATGTGAAAATGGGAGATTCTTGAAGTGCCAAGCTTACAATCCACAAGCTCTCCCTTATTTATTTTTGTACTCTTGATTTCTATAAAAACTACTTTTTCATAATTATTACTTTTGTATTTTATTTTATTTTGCAATAAAACATTACTTTGAAAAAAAAGTTACAAGTGAACTCGGTCAGTGATCGTGTTAAATTCTGAAAAAAAATTCATAAACTCAAAACACATTTTCTTTGTATATATACGTAAACATGATTGTATTTGCTGCCGGTAAACAAAATTATATAGTAGCTCTCTAAAGACAGAACAAGAAAGGATAACAAATCTCTTCGTGTCTGTTACAGTGAGAAGGATTTTTTAGTCGATCCATGAAGAATCCACCATCTTCGCCATGAACGCATACCTATCAGCGGCTTCGTCAATCTGTTACAACTCACAAACATTACTCGAGAAAGTGCGACTAAAGTTAGGAAAAGAGCTCAAAGCAGCAGAGCGTCGTATTCTTTATGTTACCATTTTTTGCGTTGGACGTCCAGCTCCATGCCCGGCTTTAACTTCAATTCGAGCAATGATAGGGTTCGTCTGTGGACTATTCTCTAAACGTAAACTTAACTCATATTGCATTGTCTGCGAAAGCAAAACAGGTTTCAATGGAAGAAGAAGAAGAAGAAGAAGAAGAAGAAGAAGAAGAAGAAGAAGAAGAAAGAAGATACAAAACGCAAACAAGAGACGGAGACAAACCGCAAGCAACTTGAAAGTATGAAGTGGGACGACTCTATCGTCATGATCAGCAGTTAACAACATTGTTGATGGATACTGAACAAACCGATCCATCTTCTGTTCCCATGGCCTCTTCACATTATGCAGAGGCGAATACCTTTTTTATGTTTATTCACAATCAGATATGTTAAAAACTTACCAAAAAAAGAAGCTTTATGTTTGACCTGAACAAAAAAGACTTACTTTATTAGCCAATGGAACTCCTCTTCCTTGTCAGAACAACCAAACTCAGAAGTCCAAGCATGTCCTATGGTAAATTTGTGAAACCGGAGCATATCCATGACCCCAACATGAGCCAAAGCACACCCAAACAGATCCGGTCTCTACATCAAAACATTAAAAAAAAAAAAAAAAAAACACTTTATATAACTATGTAATTGCTACTTCTCATGAGCTAAGAATTTAGAGTATTTTTACCTGATTAATGCAAGCCCCTATAAGAATCCCACCATTACTACTACCTTCTATACAAAGCTTCCTCGGCTGTGTATAACCAGCAGAAACCAAATACTCTGCACCGTAAATGAAATCATCGAAGCAGTTCTGCTTATTCGCAAGCGCGCCTGCTTTATGCCATTCCTCACCATACTCACCACCACCACGTATGTTCGCAAAACAGAACACAGCACCAAGATGCCTACTCAGCACAATACGTGTCGCGCTGAAAAACGGCGTCATGCTCGAGCTAAACCCTCCATACGCATAGAGCAAACAAGGATGCGATCCATCTAGCTCTATATCTTTCTTAGCCACTATAAACATTGGTATCTTTGTTCCGTCTTTACTCGGATAAAACACCTATAAATAAACATAGTCATGGAGATATATATGGATTCAAAAGTAAAACTTAAATGAAGAGATATTTTCTCTTTAATATGTACCTGAGTGACTTGAAACGCTCTTCTATCGAATCCATGTACAGAGATTTCACGAAACACTGTAACTTCCGGAGCTTCACTAGATAAGTCACATTTGTGAATCACGCCGGGAGTGAGGAAGCTTGTGAACCTAAAGAAAAAGGTTGTGTCTTTACGCCGAGCAAAAACTCCACCAACGGAGCCAATATCTACAGGTAACCTGTGAAGCAAGGAACCAGATTCCAAGTCTCTAATCTGCAAAATATGTTTCACATCGCTCATGTAGCTCACAACAAGCTGGTTCCCATTAACTACACAAGCTGTTGAGAGGACATCTTTCTCGTGTTCTGCAACAATATCAGTCCATTTGCTCGGTTCCTTCAGATCAACACGGACTAGTTTGTACTTTGGAGCATCTTTGTTGGTAAAGAAAGTAAACAATGTCTCGTCGTTTGCGATAGCTATGTATTGTGCGTCAAATGTGTCGATAAGCTTCACAAATGGAAGCAGAGTTTTGCTTCCTCTAAAACCTTCTAGACCTTTGGGAAGTGATGAGAGATCACAGTGATAAACTTTGTTTACAGGGTCACAACCTTCTTCAGTTGTCATGATTAGGTACTGCATTTACAACAGAATCAAAATTCAAACCCAAAGCTTTAACCTTTTAACTTTTGACATCATAAGAAAGACTTAAACTTTACCTTTCCATCATCAGTGACTTTAGATCCAAACATATGCTTGGGATTCTCTTGGTCTCTCCAACATAAAACATCTTCGTTTTGATCCGTCCCAAGAAAATGGTAATAAAGCTCATGGTACAAGTTAGAGTTAGTCTCTGTACCAGCATCAATCTTCTCTCCCTCTCTACAACAACAATCCAAAATCAGAAAAAATCATAAAAACTCAACCTTTTCAAACCATTTCCTCAAAAGTTTCATACTTTAACTAAACCAAAGAACTCACTGTGGAGCTGGGTAGCGACTGTAGAAGAAACCTTTACCATCATGTGTCCATGTGATTCCACTAAACTTAACCTGATTCAACAAAAGGATAAGATTCATGTCAATGTTGAAGGTAAAACTGATTAAAGGAGTAATTTTTAATTTGAAGAAAGCTTACCCAAGATAAAGTATCAGGCTCCACTTTCTTATCTTGAATCTTCATCACTCTAATCGTTACCCAATCACTACCACTCGAGCTAAGCCCATAAGACAAATACGTAGCATCCTCACTGATAGCTATACTGCTTAAAGAAACTGTTCCATCATCACTAAGAGTATTGGGATCAAGCAAGACCTCTGCTTCGGAATCCAAATCATCCTGAAAAACCCAGTTCCAAAATATGAAAAGCCAATTGACGAAATTAGAGATTAAATATGATTTCTCTGTTTCAAATTTACCTGAATAAAAAGCACACTCTGAGCTTGAAGACCTGTGTTGTGGAAGTAAAAGTAGCTGTTCCCTCGTTTAAATGGCGTATCGTAGCGAGGATGATCAATGAGCTTTGTGATTTTCTCATGGAGCTTTTCCTTCGTTTCGCAAGTTTTAAGCACAGAATCTGTCAGTTTCACTTGTTTCTCTACAAATTCTTTCACTTCCTCAGCGTCAGGATCTTCCAGCCTAACAGAGAACCAACAAAAAACCGAACTTTAAACCGAAACAGTTTTACAATTGGCTCAAACCGGTATTACAAACCAAAAATAATTATGAGCAAACAAACAAAAATTGGTCCAGAAATGGGCCAAATTTTTACATAAATGGTCCAAGAAGATCAATAATGGGCCAAAATATACAGAGCTGGTCCAAAATGAGCTCATACGTGATTGGTCATGATCTAAATTTAAAAATCCAATCTTTTATTCCAAAAAGAAAAACAAAAACATTTAACTAACTTTAGGCAGAAACAGAAGAAAATTCAAAAATCTACGGTGAGAATCTCCGTGATTAATAGTCAACTCAACAAGACGACAACGTGACTACAATAAACGAGAGCTGGAAACGGAAACGCAAAAGCAAAAGCTTATACCAACGGTAAGGATCAGCGACTTTAACGCCGTGATAATCATCAACGACGGACTCATCCCGCCTCGCCGCCGGATACTGCAGCCTCTCCTCGAACGCCGACAGAGATCCCATTTTATAGCTAACCTTAGATTTCCGACACAAAATGAAAAAACAAAAAACAAGAAAGACTTTAATTTAAGTAAATTTGACGTTGAGTTTCGTGGAGTGGAAGGGAAAAATGAAGAAATAGCGTGGATCGGGTATTTATAGAGAAGCGGCGCGTGCGGTTGAGATTACAAGAATATAAGAAAGGTTACGTGAGAATATGGAAAGAGCGCGCGTGATAGATGGCTGCATTGAGTCTCCCGTTACCCGTTATGTCGAAATTCTTTCGTGAATCTGTCGACATTTTTGGGTTATGTTGCCATTTTTTTTATTCAGAATTTTAATTTACACAAACCTTCTTTACTTGGACCATTTTGTCGTACGAACATAAATATTATTTTTTTCTTCTATAAAAACGATAAACAAGTGGTGTCTTGGTTTATATTTTGTTTGTAATATACTTTTATTCTTCCATTCTGTAAATATTTGAACTTATATTTTCATATGTACTAGACTAATGCCCGCGCATACGCGCGGGTTTTCTTGTTGTTATAATTTAAGGAAAATGTTATAAAATTTTTATAGATTTGTGATTAATATTTTAGTCCAAATAACACCCATTTTTAATTCTTATTTACTTGGTTAGACTTTCAAATATATAGTTTTGCAATACCACATGTTTTTATACCCTTGATATTTTTTATTTATTCACCGCTACATGGAACACACTCTGCTTCCTTACCATCACTTTTCGTTGAATCAAATTCTCTGTATAATAATAATAATAAGAGAATTTAGATGTTTAATAGTGATTCAAGATTGAAGCCAAGGATAATAATTTTGGAGTGATATAATAATTTTCTTTATTTGTAAGTTATAATGGGCACAAAATAAAATCAAAAGTTGCATTGAAGTTTCATTAAACTTTTGGATATTTTTTTTTTAAAGTGAAAATTATATGAAAATGTATTTTGCAAGTTACAATAAGCACAAAAGAAGACCAAAAGTTACATTAATGTTCTATTAAACTTTTGGATTTTTGTTTTTTAAAGTAAAAATGATATGACATGTGTCATTGTTTCATGTATCCATGTGTCCACAATATGGAGAGAGTTGACCTCTTTTCATATACTATATGATTAGTGTTGTTGATTTATAATTATGTTTTAAATGGTATTAGTATTACCATAAAAAAAATACGTGTAGGTAGTGCCTTAACTACTTTACCAGATAAAAAACACAAAACATTAAATATTTATGAATAAATATCATTTTGTAAAAGAAATTGATTTTTCCCTTGCTCAAATTTCTGGTGGGATCTGACCAACTACAACATCTGTCAACACAGTTGACTAGTCAACGTATTTAAGTAGCCATCGTTGATTTTATATGATTTTGTTTGGAAGAGATCCATGATCGTAACTCGTAAGTACACTATATTTCTTTGTTTTGTTAACGTCGTACACTTATGTATAGACGTATAGTAGTACATCAGTACACTATTCAATACAGTAATATTTTGCTATGTTAAGCCACCGAAATTCTATTATTTTATACTTTCCATTGTTATTAATTCCAATTTAGATATATGACTTATCCACGCAATAGCCACTAGACTATACTAAAGTCACATTGAAAATTATTTAGACTCTTATGATAAATATTTTTAAGGCGAGTCAGTTTCAAATAATTGTTAGATGACTGTGAAAGTGTCTAAGTGATAGCCATGTAAGATTGTAAGCTACTTTAGTTTGTTTTATATTTCATTTTTTTCTTAAGAGTTTCACTAAATCCATCAATTCAAAACAGACAAATTTAGTGGCACGGGTGATAGATTCGCATATCCTCTGAAATCTGCTTTATGTTTACATTTCGAACTTCATGTTTACACAAATCGAATCAAAGTATACATCCATAAAGAATCATGTTGTTATACATGACATCATCCATTACAAATTAATTAAGATTGGGACAATTATCTATTACTTTTTAAAAGTTATCGCAACTGTGTTTTATTTAAATTCTTTTATATTGTAAAATTTAACTCTCTTACGTGCATGTCGATCTTAATAAATCGAATTGCTATACCAAAAAAACAATTCCAATACTATATGTCAAGAATCAAGATAATCAATTCGAAATCGAAATGTGTATGTTGGGCTTGAGGCCCATTATTTATACCGCCTATACTAACGAGAAATCAATAAAGCTTCGTCGGGCGAGCAATCAATTTTTTTGTGACCGTTGTGAGATCCTACTTCTCCTTTTTCATTCCGATTACAAACACATTCCCTCTGAAAAGAAGGAACCGATAAACAACGGCTCTGGCGGAGGAATCAACCGGTAGTGGTGTGACGACGTATGAGCTCTTTGTCCCGAGATGGTTTGATTCCATAAACGGAGAGACGGAAGTCGAAAGATGAGGCTCGCCGAGCGGATCTCTGGTTCGAGTCCTTCTCGTGAGTTTCTTTGCTCTCTTTTTTTTGTTGGTTTCTAGATCCTAGGTTTCGTTATCAGATCTGTGGATTGGATTTCGGAATCTGGTCTCACTTTCGCTGGGTGATGATTAGGGTTTACTGATTTCTGTTGTGAGAAGCGAAATTAGGGATTGCAAACCTCTCGATTGCGAAAAAAAAAAACGGAAGGAAGTAAAATCTTCTTGCGTCGACTATTATGTTTAGATATCGTAGAATTGTGGTTATGTGTGCGTAGAATCAAAATATGTTGAAAGCAGGGATTTTAGATAAATCTTTTTTCTAATCTTGTGATTATTCGCAATTTTGCAGGATGAAGAGCCGTCAAAGCCTATAGCTCAAACGATTTCTTCACAACCGGAGCCTAGTAGTCCTTCACATTCCGTCACTTTCTTGAGAGAAGTTGCTTAATCTTGAGGAGCTTGAGGTGTAGGAAGCAAAAGAAGAAGAAGGATCCAATACTAAAAAGAATATTGAAGAAATTGAGGAGGAGAGGAGATTAACGAAAGAGGTGGAGAAGGGAAATCTGAGAGCATGAAACTCAACGAAAGCCATGCTAAGTTGATAAAGAAAGAAGCTTTGATGGTGTATGGTCCTTGAGGAACTCTGAAAGCCAAGGAATCTCTAGCCCAAAAGAAGATTGAAGAGCTGTCAAATCTAAAGCAAAGCTTTGCTCGTGAAAGAGAGTGAGTTGTTTGGCAAAATGAGGAGCTCAAATTCATCTCTTAAGACAGATACATGAGTTTGTCTGATCGATCTTCAAGAAGAATTTGGTTGGAAAAGGGAATGAGTTAAAGAACGAAAGTTTCGAAGATCATGAGAAGTCTCAATGGAGTAAAATTGCATCTTTAAGAGATAAGTCCGATTGGAGAATTCAATAGTCTGCTATATTCAATGCTCTGCATATCGATTGAGACTAAATGTTCTTGAGGGAGGAAAGGTTGCCTAATGATGTTGGATTGGGTGATTCAGTCCATGGAGAATTCATGAGATTCAATATCTCTGCATCATGGAGTAAAAATCTTTAAAAGATAGTCCCATTGGGAATTCAATAGTCTGCTTAATTCAATGCTCTGCATATTGATTGAGAGTAAATGTTCTTGAGGGAGGAAAGCTTGTCTAATGATGTTGGATTGGGTGATTCAACTGTCTGCTCAAAGACTAATGTCCCAATGGAGAGTTCATGATATTCAATATCTCTGCATCATGAAGTAAAATTGCTTCTTTGAAAGATAGTCCGATTGGGAATGCAATAATCTGCTTAAAGCAATGCTTTGCGTATTGATTGAGGAGTAAATGTTCTTGAGAAAGGTTGCCTAATGATGTTGGATTGAGTGATTCAATTGTCTGCTTAAAAGTACAATGTCCGGATGGAGGTTCATGATATTCAATATCTCTGCATCATGGAGTAAAAATTGCCTCGTTAAAAGATAGTCCGATTGGGAATTCAATGCTCGATTGAAGAGTAAAGGTTGCCTAAATGATGTTGGATTGGGTGATTCAATTGTCTGCTCAAAAGTACAATGTCCGAATGGAGGATTCAATATTCTGCTTAAGTCTTTTGTCTTGTTGGGTTTGAGACAAGAGTAGAAAAAGGAGAAAGGCAAGAAAGCTAAGGAGAAGCTTTTGACAGGTCAAGCGGAGCTTGAACATTGTGGAAACCAAATTGAAAGTTTGGAATTGGCTACGTACGAGACAAATGAGAGTAAGTATGTAAAGAGGATTCGAGATGCAAGAAACGAATTGATAGCCTGAAAAAGTGGTGTAGAAAATACTCAGCTTGAGATAGTCAGTTCGAAGATTGAGTGGGAACAAGGAGAACTTCATTTGATGATTTATGTGAAGAAATCAGAAGATGAAAAGCTCTATGAGAAGGGAGAATAGGAAGAGAAAGAAATTGTAGGAGGAGAAAAAGAAAAAGAAGAGAAAGAAGAAGCCAATACTAAAAAGAATCTTAAAGAACTTGTAGGAGGAGGTTAAGGATCTGCAGGAAAAGATGGGGAGAAGCGAGAGCTGAAAGCATGAAACTTAAAGAAAGCTTGTTGGAGAAGGAAGACGAGCTAAATAACGCTGATGCAGAAAAAGAAAACTCAGAGAAACGGAAGTTTTCTTTCTCTCGAAAAAATAAACGAGTTTTCAAAGGTGAATGATAGTTTGGTGGATAAAGAAACAAAACTGAAGAGCATTATTCAAGTAACTCAGATGGAAGGAGATTGGTTATCTCAAGAAGACAAAAGAGTTGTCAGCGACGACGAAGGAGAGCTTGGTTGACGAAGAAACCAAACTGTTGAGCATTGTTTAAGAAGCTGGGGAGCTTAGAAGAGAAGAGCTTGCTTGTCTTGAGAAGATTGAAGAGTTTTCAGCAGTGAATGAGAGACTATTTGATAAAGAAACTAGATTGAAGAGCTCTCTATTCGAGAAACTGAGGTGCTCAAAGAAAGGGAGGCTGTTTATATCAAGGAGATGGAGGAGTTGTCAAACTGCAGAGTTGTTCATAAAACTGAGGTGCTCAAAGAAAAGGTGAGCTTGCTCTCGCACTTTCAGAGCTGTCAA